ATGTGGACCTTTAGCGATAAGGCCTCAGTGTAGTGACTTAGTTTTAGTGGGGGTTTTAGTGGTAGAATAGGTATTTTTTGCATGGGTGCAAGAGTAGCTGTTGGGGGGTGCAAGAATAGTCATTCTCGTTATGAAGTGCCTATTGTGGCATTCTGCTCACCTGGTGCAGAGCTCCGTCCCGACAGACGCGGCAGGCTAAGGGCTAGGAGACGCGCCGTCCTTGGGATTTTAATTACTTTATTTTGTCGATGCACGAAGCGTAAGCCTAAACAGGATCTAGCACTGGATCGTGCTAAGATATTGACGGATAGACTGGGTCTGGAGCCAGCAGACTTTTCCGGTTTGTTTGATTGCGAAGTAAGAGTGTCGAGAGTGTGTGGTCCGCGGGGGACATGCAACTCTTGGTAGAGTGAATGTGACGGATTGATACTTGTACATTAGGGAGGTACTTGTACAAGTAAATGCGATGAAGGATCCGATCTCCAGCCTCTGGCATGGCATGCATGGGACGGTGATGCGGGCAAGGGGGGATTGGGATGGTGATGGGTGACTTGATTGAGTCAGAAAACAGGCCGACCAACCCTGACTGGCTGCGGCCCTGTCGCCAATCACAGCGGGCAGCGCGCGTGATTGGCCCGAGGGCCCTGGCATGGGCACAGTGGACAAGGAGAGGCGGGTGGGCCTCTGCCGCCCCGATGCAGTAAGGTACCTACCTACAAGTAACTAGACTACCTAGACAATGGTCCGTGGCTCCCAGGCAAAGCCAGGCTCCGTCCTTGTCTTTCTGGTCGCGATTCTTCTCTCCTGCTGGCCATGTGGCCCTTCAGGGGTCGAGGGATTACTGCCTTTCTTTTCTTTTTTTGGGGTCACGGCTCTGCCTGTGGGGCTCGTCGTGAGCTGGTTGACGAACGCATCGCCACCGAGGCGCCAGTCGTCCGGCGAGTTCCCAGGCGGTCTCGCTCAAGCAGTACGGAACACGGAGTAAGGGGTCAGGAGGTAAGCGGACAAAGAGAAAAAGGTCTGTGGTCTCTCACTTGACCTTGACCAGCCAAAGCGAAAACACGGTACGTGCATGCCTGCCCTCCGTACAAAGTTGTTGGTGTGCAGACGAGCGTAAATCCACGCGAGACAAACTACAAATCACAACGGGCAGCTATCCGCTGGAGGCAGACCGGGGATCCTCCCTCCACTCTCACCCCCTGCAGGTGCTTCCCACTCACGCCACTCCACTCCAAACCGCCCGCCTGGCCAGTCGTTTCGCTTCCTCTGCTGCCACCCTAGGCCAGCTTCAAGCTAGCTCTGGGTACCTACCTCACTAGGTACGCCTCCCCTGATCTGGCAACGGTGGGAGGGCTCGAGTATGTAGGTAGGTACCAAGTCCAGCACACAGCACATCGAGGAGATGAGCAGACGAGGGGAGCAAATAAGCGATTGAGCGGGTGAGTGAGTCTGTTATTGTTGGAGAGTCGAGTAACTAGCCGAGAGAGAGAGAGAGAGAGAGAGAGAGAGAGAAAACAAGAAGAAGAGAGAGGGCCTAGCCTGGATGTGCTCCCCAAGTGAGTTAATGCATCAAAAGTGCTCTTTGGCTGACCCGGGGGACCGTGATCCGCTGGAGGGAAATGGGCCTTTCCCCTGGCTGGCTGCTTCTGGGCTGCTGTTCGGCTCACTGTAGGCAAGTACTGTTCTGGCCGTGCAGCGTGTGCAGGTGCTTTCGCTCTCTCCTGTGAGGTACTTGCCATTTGGGTCCCGGCCTCCTGCCCACACACCCACACCCAACACCTGCAGCACCCGCTCCTCACGCACCACCCATTTCTCCATCTCCATTTCCGAGTCCCTCTCTCTCTTCTTCCAGTCCAGTCTCCTCCTGGTCTTTTTTCTTCCTCTTTCTCCATCACCAACACCAACACACCGCCCTTCCTTTTCCCATCTTTCTTCTCCATCTCTCTCTCTCTCCTCTTCCCCTCTCTCTTTCCTCCCCTCGCGCGCGCACGCTCTCTTCCATCTACTCGACTTGGTCGTCGTTGTCGTTGTCGTAGTCGCCTTTTGAAAACGAAAAACCTGTCTCTCGCGGTTTTCTTCCCTCACTCGCCCCAGCAAAACAGATACGCACAAACACCACCATTTCGTCGGACGAAGATTATCCCACACACTTTGGAGAAAAAGACAAAAAAGATCAAAAAGACACCAGGAGAGGCTTCTTCCATTTGGACACAGCTCAAACTTTTTTTTACAACAACCACACCCTTAATACTCTGTACTTTATCGCATCTCGACGCTTCGCTTTCAAATTTGTTTCGACACGCTGCCGTACCCGCCGCCGCCACATCAAACAACCGACCACGCCACGCCAGTACACGCTCTCGGCAACCATCGAGCCTCGCTTGTAGCGGTTGTCTGTCGTTGTTGTTGTTGATGCTGTCTCGGTCACACACTCCGGCGAATTAATTGTCGATCGGAAACCCGCTAGATTCGATCTCTGCCGGCTCACAGTTCGCACCGCACGCACCTGCGTCGTTCCTACTGCTCTGGCCAGTCTATCTCGTCTCTCTCGGTCCCTTCGGTTGCTCTTCCGTCCCTTCGTCGACAGCGTCGCCCTTTCTGCAGGCATCACATCGCCCTGGTTGCAACCCGTCATTCATTACACAACGGCCCTCTCCCACCAGAGACCCTTAATACAGTCACGCAATACCCGACCGATAAACAGTCATTTCGACATCTTCTCTTGTCATATTTGCCCGCCCCAAACTTCGGGGCCTGTGCTTCCTTTCGACACTCGGAACAACATCATCGTTTTCGGAAACCACACACTGCACGGATCCGCTGCAGCAAGACAACGGGCCTAGGATTATCGATTTCGTCTCTGAAACGGTTCTCCTGTTCTTTCCGACATCCCCGTCATAATATATCTTCTCGGCTCTTTCCTTTCTTCGTCTTCTATTCTCTTTAATACACGAGCAGCCAACTGCTATTCGAGTAGACTGACTGCCTTTTTCAATTTTCACCCGACGCTTCGCACGCCCGGATCTGTCCCCGTTGCAACTTGGGTTCATTTAAGCTTTCGACGACCATATTCTTTCTTCGCCAGTTCTAGCAACAGCATTTCGAGCAAATGGACGCAGGCGGTCTAGCTCAAATGTCGCACCAAAACTTCTCCGGCAGGCTCAACATGCCCGCTTCTGGTGGCCTGGCCTCGCGCCGAGGTGGCGGCCAGAACATCAAGCCGCTCTCCTTCGACAACATGAAGTCACAGCCGGTCGCCGACAACGGTCTGCCTACCCCTCGCACCAGCCGGTCTCATCTCCTCGCTGGCCTTCGTACCGCCCCAAAGTCCGCCACGGCGGCCACCTTCCCTGCCTCGCCCACCACTGCCGCCCCTGCTCATCAGATGAGGAACCGCAACACTGCTTACGGCAACAACGACAACATGTACAATGGCCCCAAGACCTCGATGCCTCGGTACAACCAGCAGCAGACCTTCAACAACCCCATGATGGCCTACGCTCAGCAGCAGCAACAGCAACAGCAGCAGATGCAGCAGCAGATGCAGGCCCAGCACTACTCGGCCGACCAAGTCCTGGCCCCTCCCGAGATCCAGCTCGAGGACCAGGCTCTTGAGGGCATGGACCCCAACCTGTACGCCCAGCTTGTTGCCACCAACATGTTCCTCGCCCAGCAGCAGCAGAGGCTCCAGCAGCAGCTCATGAGCGTCCAGGCGGCTCAGCAGCAGTTCCAGACCATGAACCTGAACAGCGCCCAGCCCATGCAGCAGGCCTACCAGAACCTCTACCAGCAGCAGCAGCAGGTCAACAACCTCCAGTCTATGGTGACCTCGGGCATGTCGGCCCAGGGTGGTCTCTACTCGCTGTACGACCCCGTCACTGGTCAGCAGACCCTCTACGTCAACCAAGGCTCGGCGCCGCAGCTCAACAGCCAGTTCGTCGACCAATACAATCTGGCCCTGCAACAGCAGCAGCAGTCCATGAACACTCCCCGCGTCCAGGTCTCCCCTCCTCCTGCCGAATCTCAGCAGAACAGCTTCAGGAACCCCTCGCCCCCGCGCCGCTTCGAGTCGCCTGCAGATCAGACCACCCCGCTGCCGCCCCCGAGCGCCAATGCGTTCCGTCGCGGACACAAGAAGTCGTCCTCTCTGGCCAACGTCACTAACGGTGCCCTGTCGGTCTCTACCCAGGATGCCCCCAAGTCGGCCGGTCCTAAGAGTGCCCACTTCCCTCTGGCCGGCACGTATGGCCCCGGCCAGGGCCGCGCTGGAGAGCACCCGGTCCGCCAACCCCGTGGCCCGCCCAGCCTCGACGAGCTGCGTGCCAAGCCGACCTCGAAGCACGAGGGCAGCAAGAACTTTGCTACGCGCACTCGCCGGTCCGCCGTGCACAATCTCATGCGCGCCGGCATCACTCGTCGCCAGGTGACGGGCACGGGCAGCTCTGGAAGTATTAGCCCTATTTCCGAGACGGCCGAGGAGATTGCTGGCCCCTTGACGGACGACGACTCGGATTCTGGACGCAGCGGCTCAGGCAGCCTCAATGGTGACGATGTCGAGTGCTCCCCGCCTAGTTCGCGGACGTCGACTGGTAGCTGGGGCGCCATCGGCTCGGACCGGCCCAGCTCGCGCCAGAAGGCTCGCGGCGCCATCGAGTCGGCCTACGGCACCGAGGCGGAAGCCAGCGCCGGCAGCTTTGCCAGCGTGTTCAAGAGCGCCAACAAGACACCCACGGCCGAGAGCAATGGCCAGCGCAAGGCGCCCATGCTGGTCCTCACGAGTGCTGAGAAGCGCAAGAACGGCCCCGTCATGGTCGCCTAAAGGGGGCTGTTTTCACACAATCCTCTTTTTTCTTTTGCTTTAACGCACTTACGATTATGTTCACGTCTTTCATTTCACGGCCCGCCATACCGAGGACCCGAGCCGGGGTAGATCCTCGCCGCTCTGGCCGCGGTACTGGATACGGATACGAACGATAGGGTGGTTGGTAGGCTTGTCAAGGCGAGAGAGATTCGTCTTGCTTTTCTCCGTTTCTTTTGGTCACAGAGCTTGACCACTGCCGAACTCATGGATGGTTTCTGGCTACATTCTATCAAAGCGTTGCAGGCCGTGCGGATGCGCAGCCTGCGATACAAATTGGCTTCTCGAGGCGCTTCTGGATTCGATCTTTGCGATGATTTCTGGCCACGGGCACGGCAAGGTCTTGCCTCCTTCTGCCTCGATTCCCAAGCCATGCTTCCCGGGACTGCAACCATCTTTTGTTGGAAACTCCAAAGGGCGGCCGGGAAAGGACCATGCGGGGTTTGGCACAGGCGGACGCGGAACGGTGGCTGCACAGGCTGGCGTGCGCGAGACTGGGATCAGTGGACATTCTTTTGCTGCAGGGAGATGAGATATCCGAAAGCTTGATAGGGACGGCGACGAGGGTTTTCTGACCAGTTGACCCAAGAAAGGTCGCCCATTACATTCCATGTGCATTTTTAGCTGACTGATTCAAAATGAACAAGAAACGCTTTATAAAATTAGGTAGTCTAGTCCAATACGATCTGACTTTTGCATCAGATGGATGAGAACCAGAACCAGAACTGGAACACATGTGCATGTCTCGTTGTCATTTGGGGAGGGCAGGACGCGCTCCAGTCCGACTCTCTCGATCACGATTTCGGCGGCTTCTGGGCGGCGGCCGCAGTTGATTAGGCCCCCCCCCCCCCCGCCGTTTTAGCTGGTGGGCCCCACTGGGTACCCATCGCGGCACCCGAAAAGGCAATTCGTAGCTCTAGAGGCTCGCTGCTGCAGAGGGAAGCTCTTATATGGAAAATCCACGATCCTGTCGCTGTCCGTCCAGTTCCCTTCGTCGAGGAAAGCACTGCGGGCGAGGCAGCAGCAGCACTCCGAGGCTGGTGCTCGTCTTGTGTGATTCTTGCTCCCCCGCCTCCCATTCACCATTCATTTGCCTGCGAGATTGGACACCCCTGCTGGGCGTTTTCTTCTCGGGTCTCACACCACTGCAAACATACAAACACCATCCCCACCGCGTTCTCTTCTCATTCTCTTCCCTCTTCTTCCCATTGCCCATCCGCAGCGCCTCTTGTCAGCAGCGGCCCAAAGCTCATGATGGCCTTCGCAAACACCCGTGACCCTCGCATCCATGGCTCATCCTCATTCCCCGATGACTTCCACCTCGCCTGCGACCGCGAGGGCGACGACAACGGCGAACTCTGAGCCGCAGCACAGCGCCAATGCCCGGCTGGCGGCCAAGACACCCGCCTGTCTGCCGTGTCGCTTGCGCAAGATCAAGTGCAATGGGGGCCAGCCTACGTGTAGCACTTGTCTCGCGGCCAACCGACCTTGCCAATACGATCAGAGTGGCCCGAAGCGCAGGTAAGTTAAGGTTTTCCCCTGTCCTCCCCTTTGACCCTTTTGCTCTTCCATCCCAATGTAACGCTCGCTTCCACCCTGTGCGCAGTCGTACAGGTCGCCGCTGTCTTGCCTTTTCCCGGAGGGTGCCAGCACGGTTCCTGCCCAATCCCTACGCCGCTCTACGCTGGCTGTGCGCCGTCCCCTTGAGCTGACCGCTTCTTCCTCGTTGTGCTGCTTCTACAGACACCGTGTGGAGGGGTCCCGCCGTGACCGCCAGGACAAGAAGAAGAGAGCCGTCGCTGCGGCCGCGGCGGCGCTCCAAATACATGCCGCAAATCCCGAACCACAGCAGCCAAGGGTCCGCCGCCAGAGCAGCACAGCAGTCGAGGAGGATGTGCCCAACGTCTTGCACTCGGCCGAGGACGTGCCCAGCAGCTTCCACGCGGCGGCTGCGGCGGCGTTGCAAACGCAGCAGGCAAACCATCTCAGCCGCCAGGGCAACATAGCAGCCGTAGAACGCAGGCCCAACGTTTTGCACTCGGCCGCCATGTCCAGGCTTGCCCGCTCCCAGAGCTCGTCTTCCCCAGAGATCTGGCTGCCTCCCCTCCGCGGCAGCCATGACAGTCCTTACCCCTCCGAGTCTTGTGACACCCAAAGCACAAACTCTGCCGACTTCGACGTCAGCCCGCACGTCATCCTCCATGGCACCGGAGCTGTAGAGGTGCGCGGCCCAACCAACACCCTCTACGAGTCTCTTGGCAGCAGACAAGGTCTCCCCCGGCGGGGAAAGATCCGCCGCTCCGACAGTGCCGATGCCTATTCCGCTGCCTCGTATTTCCTCACTAGGAACGCGGCCGAGGAACGCGGTAGGGAGGTTAGTTATCGCCAGACGCTGGTTGAGCGCGGCTACATACACGATGTCCCCGCCGAACTGGCCCTCCATCTGCTCGACATCCACTTCAACCGCCACCACTTCTTCTGCATCACCTACCGCCCAGTCTTCTTCCGAGACATGGTCCACGGCGGAAGGTTCTATTCGCCTCTTCTCCTCTACGCTCTGATGGCCGTGACCTGTCGCTACTCGGAGCGCACCGATCCCGAGGTCGGCGGGGGTGACCACGCGGAAAACTCGGGAGAGCGTTTCTACTCAAAGGCAGAGGAACTGCTCAGGGACGAGGTCGGCAAGTCGAGCGTCCCGACCGCAACGGCTCTTCTCGTCATGGGCAATGCTTTGATGTCGGCTGGGCAGGTTGACCGAGGATGGGACTACACTGGTTAGGTACCCCGTTTCCTCAATCGCGCGATGGCCGGCTGACCGAGATCCGCAGGACGAGGTATCAGGATGATCACGCAGCTGGGTCTGTACGTCGAGGCCGATCGCATCACCGCCGACACCCCGCTCGAGACGCTTGAAGAGATCGAGGTATCCCGACGGTTATTCTGGGGAGCTTTCGTGTCGGAAAAGCTGCAAAGCCTCTACCTCGGGCGGCCCATATTCATGCATGGCCGAGACTGCCACGTGCCCAAGGTCGGTTCTTCGTGCTGCGGCCTATGTCCCTGTGAGCGGAACTGACTCTACCGACAGAAGTTTATGGATGTCTATGAAGAGGATGAGATCTGGCGTCCCTTCCTCGTCATGCCCGGAGCCCCTCCGCTACCCCATATGACGACGAATGGAGTCACCAACTTTGTTCACCACTGCGTTCTCAGCGAGATCTGTGAGGATATTATGAGTTCCTTCTACCAGGTACACGCCAAGAGAACACCCCGGCACGAGCTCCGGCTTGTGCTGGACCGTATTAGGGGGCGGCTCCGCGGGTGGAACCAAGACCTGCCGGACAAACTGAAATTCACACCATGGGATGAGAGGCAGACTGGGCTGGTTGGTTTGGTTCCTATGCACACCATGGTGTTGCAGTGAGTAGCAGAACCCTTGTTCGCCGGCTCAACTTGGCCCGTTCTGACGCTTGACCACCTCTTCTCCAGCACGATATACCTATCCTTGGTGATCCTATCCGAACGGCCGTTCGTCGCAAACGGCCATCTCAAGGGTAATGACCATGATGGCAGCTGGCACGACTGCACGGTGGCCGCAGAGAGAATCGCATGCCTGCTCTCTGTGTACCGCTACGCGTACTCGTTCCGCCGGGTGCCGTACCAGCTCTGCTACGCCACCTATGTCGCCAGCACAATCTTGGTTAGAAACGCCACCGGCCCTGGCACATCGGGTGCACACGCGCCCTCGATGGAATATCTCGGCGTCTGCCTGTTGGGGTTTCGGGAGATGAAGCTAGCGCATCCCGGGACTCAATGCATGGAGGACCGGATCCAGAAGCTGATGGATAGATTAAACATTAATTCTGTTGCCTGTCAGTTTTTTCCCCCTTTCCCCCCTTCGTCATCTAGGATCACTTACTTATGCATCTCCATCCCCTGACAGGGCTGCAACACCAACCCCATCCCTTCCTGCGGGCCTCGGTCGCATTACCTGTCGCGCTGCCCAGCCAGGCTCAGGAATACGACGAGGCGACCCAAGCAGTCGGCGAGCTGAGCCACCCTTCGCTGCCCTTTGCGGCAGGCCCCTCTTACACGCCAGGCCTCTCGTCGTCGATGCCGCCGGTCCTGCCGCAGAACGGAGACTACAGCCTGATGAGCCCCCATATGGCGGGGGGACCACCGGGCGCGTATCTCGTCCCCCAGCCGCCGATGGTGGGCAGCAGCGCGTTTGCGACCGACTCGTTTTACTACATGCCCATGCAAGGCATCAACGATGATACGCTGTACGGCCCGCTGAGGGGCAACTGGGGCTGATGCTGGCGGGCCCGAGATACGAAAGGCGTGGGTGGTGGTCCATTACATCACATCGCTCCCGTCCTGGTTCAGAGGCACGTCCTCTTTCTGGAATACTTGTTGACGAGTGCCCCGTCAGATATGTGGATGATACGGCAAGGCGTGATATGATATGTTATGTATGACTGGAATGATATCCTAGAATGTAATTCATCGTGGGCGGTGGCTTTGATTCTTGTAGTCAATCCATCCCTGATGATGGTTGATGACGCTAACGAAAAGATACAACAAGACAGTGTTGTCATGGGTTCATCATGTCTCGAGATGTTAGAGTGGAAGAACAAGTGGACTTGAATATTTTAAATATGACGAGTTTGCCGACCCTTCTCAGACCGTAGTCTTGAGTTTTACTTCTCAAGTACAACGCCACCCTCTGGTAGAAAAAAAACAACCACCGTCGACGCCATGATTAAAAAAACATTTCTCCCTCCTCACCCATTTGTTTGTATATACAATCAGTGGCAGGGAGGGCTTTAAGTAAAAAGATGGGCCCATCTGCGCGCGCGCATCGCTCTCTAGGCGGCTAGGTCCATGCCGTCGGCGTCGAGGCCGCCGCCGCCGCCGCCGCCGTTGCGCGCCACGACGTCTGACGCCTCCTCCTCCATCATGGCGATCATGTCGTCGAGGTTATCGTCGAGGTTCTCGGCCTCGGGGCCCAGGCAGCTCTTGAGCAGGCGGCGGTACCGCTCAATGTTCTCGCCAGTGCCGACGGCGCTCAGGGCGTCGACGTAGTCGGCCTCGGCCTCGCGCTGGTCGGCCAGTAGCTTCCGCAGCTCCTTGGCGAGCCGGACCCGCTCCTCGTAGCTCTCGTCGCCGCCGCCGCCGGACCCGGCGCCGTTGGCGTTGCCGCCCGCGCCGTTCGTCATGGAGAGCTCCGTGTCGACAGCGCGCTGCACCGCGAGCCGGTTCTGGTGCGTGACAAGGGCCAGGACCTGCTTCCGCACGACGGCCGCCTCGTTCTCGACCTGCGCGGCCATGGCGTCCGGCTCGAGCTGCGCCTCGAGCGCCGCGATCTGCGCCTGCACCGCGGCCAGCTCGGCCTGCGTGTTTTGTAATATCCTTTGCGCCTCCTTCTCCGCGTCCTCCTTGTCCTTGAGCTCCTCGTCGTACCTCTGCGCGAGCTCCTGGAACTTGTCCGTTATCAAGGGCGTGATGCGCGCTTGTATCGCCTTGGCGGCGTCCGACTGGTGCGTCACGGAGAGGCGGCCCTGTACCTCTCCCAACGCGTCTCGGAAGGGGGTGCGCATCTGGGAGTCGGGCGCGAATGGTGACGAGGATCGTTGGGGTGCGGCGCGGGATTTCTTGTTGGCGTTGAGATCGCGTATGAGATCTTCCACCCGCACGCCTTCAGTATTTGAGATATGCGTGGACGCGCCACGCCCGAGGAGCGCCCGGATGCACTTAGTCGCGTTGCGCATAGCGGCATGGTGTATGGCCGTGTTGCCTTCGTGATCTTGTGCGTCGATCAAGTGCTGGACAAAGGCTGGATCGTGCGTCTCGACAAGCTTGTTCAAGATGTTATCCAAGTAGTACCTCGAGCACGACTGGCTGGTAACCCGCCCGCCTTTGATAACAGCAGCGTGGTGAATGACAGTGCACCCAGATGAATCCCTGGCATCGACCGTCTCAAACAGCTCCTTCATCACGGCGGGGAAGGTCTGCCTCTCGTAACAGTTGGTAAAGTTGACGGCGCGCATAAAGGGGGTCTCCCCCCGGATGTTTTGTGCAGAGAGGGTGGGGCCGAAGCGCTTTAATTGTTTGATTATGTCGACATCGCCCATGGCGGATGCCCAATGCAGAGCGGTATGTCGTTCCGTGTCGATGGGCCAGTCGGGCTGGAAGTTTGTCGGCGGATCTGGCCGGATTGCGGGTTGCTCGTTCCTAGACAGCAAGAAGTAATCCAAGAGCTCGTCTCCGTACACAGAGTGGTGGGTCTGGGTCATGTCGTGGATCAAGTCCTCTCGTTTCCTCTTGCGGTGACCTGTTGAGAAATGCGACATGTCTGGCCTGTCATCTTCTGCGGCATACGAAGCTGATGCGACGGTCAAGTTGTCGGGGGTGTCGTCTTCGTTCATGGCAAGGTCGGTGCTGTCAAAGTCTTCGGCGATAGGGGGATCTTGTAATTGTCTGGTCAGCAAAGAATCTGGCGGGAAACAGGTAGGCAGGAGGTGTGACTTACTGCTCCATTTGGGAACGGCAGGGCGCTTCGGGGCTTTGGGTTTGCTGGTGTGTCGTGGAGCCGGCGGAGGGCTCTCGTTCCCCGGAACAAACTCGAAGATGGGCCGCAGGCGGTCGTAGACGCTGTTGCGCTGGGCGAGAGCCTCTCCCATTTTCAGGGGGATCCAGGTGCCTGGCAGAATCATTGAGTGTGAGCCGGCTGTAGGAGAGACTGCGGGAAGAGATGGTCAAGGACTGACCCTGATATTTGCCATAACCACCCTGAATCTTCTCGTGGGTCTCCTTCTGGACCTCGCGCTCGAGAATCCGCGTCCGGGCTGGCTTATCAAACCCGGCAGCCTTGAGAATGTGCGTTGCGTTGATCCAGTCATCGTGTCTGCGGCGCATGACATGCTCTTTAAGGTCGGCGCCGAACTGATACTCGTACACGGGGATCTGGGAGGGGTCAGTCTTGTGGACGAGGACAGGACAGGACAGGACAGGACGGTCAACATACACCGCTATAAGTAGCACTGTAGATGCCTGGCCCGGCGGCCGCCGCTGCGGCAGCTGGTGCTTTGACCATTGTGGTCGAGACCTGGATTCAGTGGCCCGAGGCTGGTTCGTTTGGACCAACGGTGTGTATCGGAAGAAGATTGGAAAAGGGCGACTGCCCCAACTGAGGAGGATCACGATGTTGCGACGGGGCGATCAATTGACGAGGCCAGGACGTCGGCCGGTCGAAAGGTCTCGGCGGGGATCGAATCGCAGACTGAAGGAGGCTGTGTGCGCGGTCTGACCGAGGCCAGAGATTTCAATCGCTCTGCGACATTCGCACGGAATTAAAGATAGGTGGTGAATGGTGGGCTGGCTAGTATCCGTTGCTGGTGGAGTTTGGTAAATGTGATCTGGCGCTGAGGTGTGAATGATGGTGGTGGAACTGCGCCTGGATGACTGACGATGAGGATGGCGGCGCGTGCTGAGGCAGGCGTCGAGGGCCACCAACCTGTCCAAGGTCAGAAGTCACCAGCAGCGGCGCAAAAGGGCAGGGCCAGGGCGGGGCGGCCAGGCGTGAAGCGACGCGAGGGAGAGCGGCCGGGTGCGCGTTTTCTGCAGGCCAGCGACGCGAAAAGCGTGCCCGGGCCATCCCTGCCACGCGCAATTTCAATTAAACTCCCCTCGCGCTGCCTGAGGCCCCCAAGGGTCGTCCACTTAAGGTGTGCCAGCACGTGACTCGATCCTCAATGCAACTTTTTTGCTTTTTGGGGCGTGAAGACGCTGGCGCAGATATCACCCAGTGGCAGCTGTTTGTTACCAAGTATGGCAGTTCACGATTGCAACCAGCCAGGAAGGCATCAAGCCCGTCCAGGTGACTGGATGGCGTGTCCGGTCCGTCGCTGCATGAGCGACATGAGTCTCTGCCGCGAGACTCCTCGGTCGTGTCTTGCTCGACGTCTCCAGTGCATCGAGGACCGTGTTCAGGCCAAGAGGACAAGACACATCATGGCCATTAAATGCTTCTGCAGTGTATTGTGTAACGTGTTAGACCAGTCATCTCGGCCTGTCTAAGACAACCAACCTTGATGATAAAGCACACTACTCCGAGCCTGTAATTCGTAGTTAGTGCGCCCCGCTACACACCTCACTAAACATGACCTCACCAGAGCTGGGGAGCACCTAATACACCACCACTACCCCACCTCCTGCTTCAACATGATTCTCACACGTCTGGCTCATCGTCGTGGTCGTTGTTGTTTCTCTCCCTAATAGGACCACAACTGAAGTCATACTCGGAGTAAGTACTAAACACCGCATACAACAACCTCGCCCAGCATGTCACCTCTCGTTGCGCAGGCCCCCACGGATCGCATCATCCTAGGTAGGCAAGAAGACATACAACTCCAACTGTGATGAATGCCTGCCACGCTGACAATCACCGCAGGTCTCATGACCTTTGGTACTGCAGAGGACCAAGGAGCTCGAGTCACCGATATCAACGACTTCAACAAGGCCCTCGATCTCTTCCAAGCTCGCGGCTACAATGAAGTCGACACTGCCAGGGTTTACGTCGCGCGCACCCAGGAGAGCTTCACTCGTGAGGCCAAGTGGAGAGACAGGGGCCTTACCTTGGCCACCAAGGTTCAATATCCTTCCACGCCCGGCGACAACGCTGCGGACAAGGTCATCGCGTCCGTTGAGACGAGTCTCAGGGAGCTCGGTACTGACTGTGTTGATGTGAGCCGCTGAAGACATGGGTGCTTTCGCCCTTCGCTGAGTCCTTCCACTAACTGCAATCCCGACATCCAGCTTCTTTACCTCCACGCTCCTGTAAGTGCAATACTGTACCTGTACAACCCGTGAGCGTCGATCTGGTCTAATTCTCATGACAGGATCGTGGCACACCGTTTGCCGAGTCCCTGGAAGCCTTGGATAAGCTGCATAAGGCCGGCAAGTTTGTGCGCCTGGGCATCTCCAACTTCACCGCTTTTGAAGTCGCTGAGATTGTCATGACTTGCAAATACAACGGCTGGGTCCGGCCCACGGTGTACCAGGGCTGCTACAACGTCCTGATGCGCACCATCGAACCCGAGCTCGTAACTGTTTGTCGCCGCTACGGCCTCGATATCGTCGTGTACAACCCCATCGCTGGAGGGCTCTTTTCCGGAAAGATCAAGAGCAAAGACATGATCCCCGAGTCTGGCCGGTTCTCGGACACCAGCAAAACCGGCGCCTTGTACCGGAAACGGTACTACAAGGACACCACGTTCAACGCTCTCAAGAAGATTGAGGAGGCCGTCGAAAAGCACGGTTTGACCATGATTGAGACTGCTCTGCGCTGGGTCGTGCACCACTCCGCTCTGAAGATCAAGGACGGAAATGACGGCATTCTCATTGGCGTCTCAAGCGTCCAGCAGCTCGACGAGAACCTCACACATCTAGAGAAAGGCCCCCTGCCTGACGACCTAGTCAAGAGCTTGGATGAGGCATGGCACATTGCCAAGCCGGATGCTGCAAACTACTGGCATCTCGATCTCGAGTACAAGTACAACACACGGCAGGCTCTGTTCGGTGCCGGAGCTAAGTAAAAAGGGTCTGCCTGTCGGCACTTGAAAGGGGGCCACAAGTTTAATTATATTACCTTCTTGGAAAATTTAAGAATGGTCTATACCTTGACTGCGAATACTGAAAGAAAGAGAACTATGAGACAAGAACCAAGAATCACTTAAATAGAAGAAGGTCTGGAAGTAGTCTCAACGAGTCCTCTTATCCTAGCTTCTTGGAAGGGCCGTCATATCCAGCTATCAATCTCGTGCTTGTAGCGATTAGAGGACTGGTCACTGGTTTGATCTAATTTTTTCGTGGCTCTAATGTTTCTTCTCAACTGTTTAGAAAATCTGAGATTCTGATAACAGAACTTAACTCGGAAATGACGGGTCCTTCCACTTGATATTGAATGGAAACGCGCCTCGAAAATCCTTGAAACCTTACTTTTGGGACCAAATACTTGCAGTGAAGCCTGATGTTATCTTACCTCACAGCCAATTCTTGTCTTGCGTCGAAGTTGTACGGATCCAGAGGCTTTAGTCTACGAGGAGAGAGCAAGTAACGTTGCTCACTACAATCTAAGATGATTATTTATTGAAACATCTTGCTGTGTTCTTTTTTTTTATTTTTTATCTAAATACACCAGTGAGTCTATCTAAGCTGTAGTTGAAAGCCCCTCAAGGAGTATTTTATCAAACAAAAAGAAAAGAAGAATGAAGGGAAGAAAAGAAAATAGACAAGAAAGGAAAAGGGGGGAAAAGAGGGAAAATAGAAAATAAAAATGATCAAATAAAGAGAGAGAGAGATCGAAAGAGAAAACTAAAAGAGAAGGGGGATAAATGAATGGCTTTGTCAAGGTCCTCAGTCTCTAGGCGCAAGACATATAATCTGCAAAGTGCGTCTCCCAGCACCAACTCATACCAGTCCTGGGTGATGACTTGTTGAACAGAAAGGAGAGCAAAAAGGCGGCTCACAACAAGGCCAAACTGATTGGCCGCTGATACCAGGATATATTTCAGCTCTCTGGAGAGAAGAATTCGTAGCAATAAGGAGACCTTAGTTGATATGAGTCCAGCTGCGGATCAGACAGAATTTGGAGCTGATTATCTTAAAAAATATCTAAGGATTTTCCAACTTGACTGAGAGATATCACCCCCAGGTAGGTACAGTACAAGGGGGTTCGGCCGGCTCATGGCTATATCATTACATTGAAGCAGGTGACTCATCCATTTGATGGGTGACTTGAGCAGTGCCTTTCTCCTCCCTGTCTGCAGCAGGTAGTTGTCCGTCCACCTCATCAAGCAGACGACGAGCGGCCAATGCCACTTGACCACCCGCCTCATCGAGGCGTCTCTGATACTCGTGCATGTTCTTCGACACGAACAAGCTATCGCTGGTGAATAGGAGGTTGATTTCTTCCAATGTGCGCTTGGCGACTTCGGGGTAGAAGAAGTAGACAATGGGCATGGCCACGATGTTCATGGCCCCAAAGAAGATGTATGTGGCCCAACCCAGACGGTCTAGCATAATCGGAATGACAAACTGTGTCATTCCACAACCGGCAGCCCAGCCAAGTATGGTAAAGCTGTAACCTTTGGCGCGAATTTCTTGTGGCCAGATCTCAGTTGGATACAGCCAAGCAGGGACTATGTTGAACATGGTGAAGAACCAAATGTAGATGAACACGAATGACGCGGCGGCGGTGCCCAGACGAGTCGATTGAGAGACGTCCCCTCTTGCAGCAGCGTCCTGAGATGTCTTTATCAGCGCTGCGACCAGGAACAACGAGACGCCCTGCGTGATGAATGACACGAGTAGCGACTTGATGCGACCGAGTCGGTCAATGATAAGTGCAGCCGCAGCTGTGCCAGGAATCCCGAAGGTATTGACTAGACCGGCAAGCCACAGGCTCTTGTAAGAATCAAAACCGGCAAGGCGGAACTATTTTGCGTTAGCTGATAGTCCAATAATTGATTCTGTTCTTTCCATGACTGACAAGCGTTCCAGCCCACGCTGCGATAGCCAAGATACCCGTCCACTGTTGAATCCACTGAAGAGCAAAACCCATGACAGCTCGCCGGCCAAGATGCAGTTTCCCAGAGTATCGCCCAGCCAGGGCAATGTTCAGAAGGTTGTTTCGTTTGTAATAAGCACTCTCGACCACTGCGTCAAGCTGCTCAATCTCATCTTTGATCACCGCGTCCGTGGGGCTCACATCGCCGCGAAGCTTGCAGAGGATCTCAATAGCTTGTTCTCGCTTTCCGTTTGCAATGAGCCACCTGTATTTGGTATTAAGCGCTGTTCTATTTTGACCAAAGGAAGAGCAACATACCTTGGGGACTCGGGTAAAAACGGCAAGCAGACGTCTACAATCAAGAGTGGAATGCACATCCAAGCCAAGGGAAAGCGCCAACGGAACTCGTCGTTCGTTTGACGGACACCGAAGTTGATCCTACCTGTGTGTTAGTCTTCCCATGGGCCAAATTGTCACATCGGAGAGCAGTGAGCTCACCAATAAGCCTAGACAAGATACAAGGCGTCAGAAACACAACCAGTCTTATCAATAAGCAGGACATGGACGTACTTACTATGCAGATACCGACATAGTTAAAGATAAACACTAGGGAGAAGGTCGAGCCACGGTCGTGAGCTGTCGAAAGTTCGGAGACGAAAGGCAAGAGGACAGAGTTGAGGATTCCAATGCCCAACCCACAGATAATGCGGGCAAGGAAGAACATGCCCCAGTGAACAGAACCTGACATTAGAGCAGCCCCGATGATTCCAAATGCCGTAGCAACAAGGATTCCGCGCTTACGTCCGACTCTGTCCCCGAGCCATCCTGAAAACGTCAGCTGGATTAAACTGACTCAGCAAGCTTTGCAACCGCTCACCTCCGAGACAAGCGCCGCCGAGCGCACCAAAATAATAGGCAGCGATTAAGCCGCCGACCTTTGTTGGGTTGGTGACAATGCCGTTTGCACCGACATCCGCCATGTCGATGAATCCTGGTGTCGCGCTCAGGAGGCCCATGATCCCCTGATTGAAACCTTCCGAAGCCCAATTACTTGTTAGTAAAGGAGGAATCACGCTTGGTACGTGGCTAGAACATCGAGCAATGGGTCACCTTCGAAAATCAAGGCAGTCGCCGAGACGACGTTGATGAGAAAGAAGAGAATCTTCCCGGGCACATGCCGCCAGATCCCCAACGCAGACATTGCGCCTAGAGTCTTGAAAAGAATGGAAAGGGTAGATTGAACACCACGGAAAGGTTACGACTCAAGAAGGAAGTGAAGTTGACTGTCGAGCTGGGTGAAGCTGTGCGGGTACGATCATGGCCTTCTCAAGAGCTGATGGCGAGATTAGCAGGCTTTTATAAACCAACGGCGTACGCCTGAATCTGGTGACTGAAGCTGGAGAATCCCTTTCCCATTGCATGTCGGTAATTGTTTACTCAAACGTTCCCCAGGTTGGAGAAGTGTGGGGAGGCGCTCTCCATGTCTGACCCAATGACTGGAGCGGAAATAAGCTTAAATGCTTAAATGTTTAAATGCCCACACGGATATTCCTCACCCAAGCTTCATATTCAGAGGTGGCTTTTGCCAATGAAGCTTTTAACCGAAGTAGAATAGCCATTTAACCGCATCACGCCTCGACAACCCGTGAATGGTTGCATGGTAATTTGACAGGAAGAAGATAAGAATGATCAAGAATGCTTTTAGCGGAAGAGCCTTTTCTTTTCGCTCAAACTTTCTCTGGATCCCACAGCTGCATAAATTCTAGCAGTTCTTGTCTAATAAAACATTTCAGGTTGCATGAAAAGGCGGCACCTTCTGCATTACATCTACCCCGCGAGTTCAGGTTCTCCAGGCCGAGACACACCATGGGCTCAATAGACAATCCCCCATCAAGTGCAATGGACACTTCCTTGGACATCACAGTCCTCGGCCTGAACTCTGGCACTTCGATGGATGGCATCGACTGTGCTCTCTGTCGCTTTAGGCAAGCTTCTCCCAGAGCACCTCTGCACTTTGAGCTGTTGAAATACGACGAGGTGCCGTTGGAACCGAAGATCAAGAAGCGCGTTATGAACATGATTCTTCACAATTCAACCACGCCGGAAGAATTATCAGAAGTCAACGTACTCCTAGGCGAGACTTTTGCCGATGCAGCCAAGACCTTCGCGGCAAAGCACAGCATCCCCCTGTCCTCGATAGATGCCATTGGGTCGCATGGCCAAACGATATGGCTGCTCTCGATGCCGAAGGAGTACCAGACAAAATCGGCTCTCACCATGGCCGAGGGCTGTTTCATCGCTTCGAGAACGGGCATCACGTGCGTGACAGACTTTCGAGTATCCGACCAAGCTGCAGGACGTCAAGGCGCGCCCCTGATCGCATTCTTCGACTCTCTCGTTCTGCACCATCCCACCAAGCTCCGCGCTTGCCAAAACATTGGGGGTATTGCCAACGTTTGTTTCATCCCTCCCGATGTCAATGGCACTTTGAACCAAGAGTTCTTTGATTTCGATACGGGCCCTGGAAACGTCTTTATCGATGCTGCTGTCCGGTACTTTACCAATGGCGAGCGAGAGTACGACAAGGATGGGGAGATGGGACGAGCTGGAAAGATCGACCAGGACATGGTTGACCACTTTCTCACCACCCATCCCTACTTTGCGCTTGACCCGCCCAAGACCACTGGCCGGGAAGTCTTCCGAGACACATTGGCTCATGAGATGATCGAGCGTGGCCTGAAAAAGGGACTGGAGCCCAACGACATTGTCGCTTCGATAACACGCATCACGGCACAGTCTATCGTCGACCATTATCACCGATACATGCCCAAGCAATACGGCCCTCTTGCTGAGATTTTCATGTGCGGTGGCGGTGCAAAGAACCCCAACATCACCGGCTACATGCAGATGGCCTTCCCAGATACTCGCATTGTTATGCTGGACGAGGCCGGCATTCCTGCCGATGCCAAGGAGGCCATCACGTTCGCATGGCAAGGCATGGATGCAATTGTGGGTAGAAGCATCAATGTCCCGGATAGAGTCGAGACCAGAGCAGAATACATCCTCGGCAAGGTGAGCCCAGGAAAGAACTACCGACGGGTGATGAGCAAGGGGATGGGATTTGGCGCCGGGCAGGATCATCTTCCCCCCGTGAGAGAACTGGTTAACTATGTGAATGGGAAGGTCTTTCACCACAAAGTATAAGTGGCCAGACCGAGATATATCTGTGGCACATAAAGAATCTGGGCCTACATAAAAGTTGTGCACAAACCCATCTCTTCCATAACCATATTATTTATCTGTTGATATACTTGGTCTGCTGTTTTCCCCCTTTATCCAAAGTCAAAATTCCATGTCCAATCGCCTAGTAAATCAGGAGGGAACTGAAGTGTCCACTCTGTTCCTGTTAAACCTCCATTGACCTCTGGAAACTCAATGGTACTGTTGCTTTGCGGCACAAGCCGGTCTAGTCCCAGCTGGTTGGCATCTGAAACAGTGTGAGTAGTCGTCTCTCGTTGAGTGGCCATGTAAGCATCGATGCGGGCAATCTGCGACCTAAGTTTTGAACTAGCACTGTTCAACTTATCGCCGCGTTGACTTGTCTCGAGGCTCTCCAGAAGTTGCGCCATTGAGTGCATAATTGAACGTAGGCTGTTGTAATCCGTCTCCGTCAAAGGCTCTTCAAACACCGAGCCTAGTATTGTCCCAATCCCACCTGAACGAGTCATTAGCAGACTAAGCAAGCACCACAAAAAGAAAAAGAAAAAGAGTAGTGTAATTACCGAGATGGTGAAGCTGAGGACGACTAATAGCTAGTAGATAGGATACCGGTATCGAGATGAATGCGTTGACCACTTCGTGAGCGATTGTACAGCGCTCCTCGATGCTCGTACCGCCTGCCGCGAACAGGACCATGCGTAGTAGTTGCACGCTCCCCGTGATATTGGCAGCCTGAAAGCCAAAGCGGTCTTTTTTTGCATCATACGTCATTGGTGGTGTTTCTTTGAAATGACGCGGCAGCCTCAAGTACATTTCAAGAACCTTGTCGCGGACTGATGCCTGGGTTGCAGTCGACTGCTCCCCGAATATGTCCCTCAAGAACGAACGACTGTGGTAGCGGTTGCCTTGAAACCGTACCAATGCGTGCTCCATGACTCTGTAAAGATCAGTGATAAAGTTCCATCCGCTGAGCCAACAATCCCCTGGACTTGTCGTTCCGTCATTGCCTAATGTGCTGGAATCATCAGGCTGGGAGCGTAGCAGCGAGATCCCGCTGTCGTCAATATACTCATCGTCAGTTTCGGTTGGATACAAAACATTCGATTGCTGCTCCCTCGACCGTATAACGCCTCCCCAGACGACTGAAGAATAAATATCCAGGGTGTATATAGACCAGTGCTGCCATTTGTTAGATACCAAAATAAGGAAATGCGCTTGCTTGCAAATTAGAGGAGCTCACCAGTCTCCTCCTCTCTTCTCGTTCGATGATGCCGATGCCGGGAGGCCAGTTTGCCTCGTCATGGAGCCCATCCATTGCGACCAAAGTGTGATATGTCCCCAGGTGCCGGTGCATATCTCGTATGTTGCCATTTTGGATCGATGCGATAGCAAGAATGGCATGTGCACGCAATAGGTTCAAGTCAGAAGGCGACTCGTCCGCAAGTTGTCGTTTGGTCTCGGCATAGAATATGGCAGGATCCGTCTCGCTAAATGACGTCAAGTTCCACCGTGGATTGGTGACAGATCCGTCACGGACACGGCTACTGACCAGAGCGCAAACGGCCATGGTGACTGCGAAGAGGCTTTTGTTGTGGACGTATTCGCCTCGGGAGATGCGGCGGATGTACGATGGCGAGTGGAAGAGTGGAAAGATCGGATACACAATCTCAAAGTATAGTTCAACCAGGTCCATGATTATTGCTTGGCTGGAAACGTAGGGGGCTTTCCAGGGCGTGGACATGGCCGCCTCCGACTGTGATGGCTTCCCGTAGCGTGCTGACACGCCCTGATCGACGGAGCCCTCTCCGCGACCCGCTTGTGGCAGTAGTGCTGGACCACCGGGGCCATCATCATCCTGCGTCTCTCCGCCGCCGCCGCCCGTAGAAGCTGGGGCCCGCCTTCGAGGTGCGCCTCTCCGGCGAGTTTTGCGGTCATAAGTGCAGGGTTGTGCGAAGTCCTGGCAGTTCTGACAGCTATTGCTGTCCTCGGAAGCAGGGCGACAGCGAATGGACCGGCGATGGCAGAAGTCGCAGGCCTGGGTAATCCGCCTCTGCTTCACCGGCTTGTCGACTTTGTTGCCTTGCGGCGGCATGATGGATTCTCATCTTCTGGGCCGTCACAAGGGTGGCTTTCTCTTCACAGACATGATGCCAGAGACGCGACTAGTCCACGGCAGGTTTCAACTTCGCGCACTTGGGGATTACGTAACTACCACCCCATCCTTTGCCCAATTAGGCGAAGGCAGTCTGCTCTTGTCCAGTGAGGTATTGAAATGCTCGACTTTAACAATATTGGGAAACAAAAGTTTCCCGAGATTGATGCTATTCTTCAATTTTCAAGACGACTGGTAGAGATAGTGAATAATGGAGATAGAAAAGAAAGATTTAGTCACTCTTCTGACTTGGATGGGTGTCTCTTAACCGGATTCTATGATGAAGACTGAATTGGAGTCTGAATACAGGCCTATGACTTGTAATTTCAAATCCTCTCGACGAAGGCTGCTTTTCGAAACACACTACTGCAAATCGTAGAGTAGCTACATCCATAATGTGACTTGGTACGTTCTCGGAGACAACGCCCAGTCATGCGATATGCGATGTTTCCACCCAAATTGCACTGACGATTGCAACACACCAAGCCAAACTTGAGGTGCACATTGCATGAAACACAGGGACAATTTGTCTCTAAGGAGATAACTGTATGGGATGTTCTTCGAAGTTGTGAGGGTATAACGTCCGCCTCGTAGCGAGCCCCAATGGTGTCGACAAATCGGACATGAGCTACTTACACCTATATACCTTTCTGCGGATAGCCTGATGGGAATTGCTATGGGGATGGGATCAGCATAGTCCCGACGCACAAAGGATTAGATACCCTGTCCGAGATGCCGCTGGTCAGGATACGAAGATGTCGCAGAGCCAAGACCAAGGAAGTAACAACAGCCCCCAATCCAGAAGATCGGAGCTGCTAACACACTTTTGAGGTCGTCAGCCCGTACAGGATGCCCAGGGCGGCTTCTCTGGCCACACAGTCGCCCCCATGGAGTTGTTATAGCTGCTGTAGTCACGCCATGGCGTTCTGAACCTTGTGATCAACTGCAGGAGGGACATAGACAAGGGGAGAAAGAGCTGTGAGCTACCGACCCTTGCAACCCAATCAAGAGATCCTGAGACCGACCCTTGATGTTGTTGGCGTAGGCTCTGGCGTCACCAGGTTGTGGGTCGCCGTGGCACATCCTGCATGTCGGGCCAGTCAGCAGACTGGCATATGACCGGCGATGGAGATGGTGCTTCGGCTACGTGTTATTGATATCTGATCAAGACTAGCACTGAATTTAGTCATGATGACGGACTGGAGGCACGCGTATACTGTCCACTTATGTGAGAGTAGGCTGTGGAGGCCAAAAGCCATGTCGGGGGTGTCATCGCTTATGGGTAGCTGATCTGTTTTCAGGCACGGCTTGAGTATATGGAGAGGACGTTCGAGGACTCAGCTGTCTGACGGACGAGTAATATGCCATCCGAGAGCTGCCCGGGTATAGGCTCCGCGAAGACTCGCCGTATATCAGCCTGTGCCCTCAAAGAGTAAAATTGTTGGCTGCTTAGCATAAGCTGGACGTGTGCAAGACCTATCTACTGTACTTTGCAGTTGATGGTGGTCGCTCAACATCAGAACATGGATGGTCAATTGATGTGTGGAGATCTTTACCGCTAGTCAAAGTGTGTGGCTGTGTATGTTTTTGTTGCAGCCTATGTACGCGATGCAATAGGTCGGTGGCGGTTGACCAATCCTGGTATGCAAGATCCCATAGGGCTGAACGGCCATTCGGCTCACAAGGATGCGGGCGATCTCTGGGCAGCTGTCACAGGGGTTGCAGCTCTAGCCAGGTGAAGGAGATCCGGATCAATTGGTTCAGCTTGCTTGGTGGGATCTCGGTTGCTTGCGCAGGTCACAACCAACATGGGGGCCAACGCAACAGCGGACCGGAAACTGCGGGACTGATGCGTCGATGTACTGTGACCGAGAGTCTGCGTGTCTGTGTGTGCCTGGACTCATTGGCATTAGGCGCTTGCAGCTCAACAGTCGTGATAGGTACATCGGATGCTCTGGGGTGCTCAAGTCTCGGAGCGAGATGCACACTTGGGCCAACCCCCGAACAGGAGAAAAACAGGAAAGAAAGAGAAGCAATGTACTTTGGTGACTCTTTTCTGCAACTCGTGGTTGTGCCGAAGAAAAGGCGTCTAGCTGACTCAGTATCAGGTTTTACGAAGCTGAAAAGGCCTGGGTCGCCCCAGTGGCCCCGTGGCCCAGCGAATAGCACCGCTATTAGGGATTGGACTCAGCTGCTGTTTCGTATCCATAGGAGGCCAGATTGGTGGCAAAAGGCCTCGTAATGAAGTAGAACCGAGCCAAGACCTTTCCCTTTCGCTATGAATGTCAGAATTTTCTTTGCCTCGGAGCAGTCGGCTTGGCCTAGTCGAGCAGATTTTGTCGAGCAGATGATGCTCAAATGACACACGGCAAAGTCGTCTTTCGCTTTTTTGAAGTTCATTAGGTATGAGTGTGATGGGGGCAGTGGAGTTTGTGATCATGTGGGTGTTTTACCGGGCTCCTTTCGGGTGGTGACGGTGCTGTGCATGTCAGCTAGCGAGCCGGGGTTTCAGTCTTGGAAGAGATCAATTGGGTCCTTTAATAAACTGACAGCGACCCAATGCAGATAAGCATCAGAATCGATCAGACTTGCATCCTCCGGTAGCTATGCTCCCAGGAGGAAAAGCGCCTCAAGTCCTGACCTACAATGACAGGATGAGCTTGCCACTGTGCTGGCAGATAACATCAAAGCTCAAGAGTCGTCTCGACACTGAGAAGCGTCTCGCGTCGTCTTCCCGGTTCGGGCAAACCAGGGGCACAGACACCAGGGCTCGGATCTGGTCGCAATTGACGGTACCGATACGTACGGTGCCTGGTCGTTCGCTGCATCCTGATGGGCTGGGCTGGGCCCGGCTTCGGGTCGCTTCCCTCGTGATACTTCAGAAACACAAGTGTCGAGAGCACCTGATTTGGTGTGCACTTGGGGCCTTGGTGACAGCCAAAGGCTCTCGCACAAAATGACTTGCTCCGACATGAAGATCCCCCCGCCCAATGCCGACCAATGCCAGGTTGATCTAGCGGACGATCCATCGAGACAGGCACAGTCGACTCAGCTGCCTGCAGCTTAGGCCAACATTAACCTGCAGATGGGTGCATGACGCGCATCTTGTTGCTTCCAGTACCCTTGCGCGTGCCAATCGCGAGGTGTCTCCAGCATTGCAGACCCCCGGTGCGCCTTGATCCACTGCGAAGCACATCTTGCCGCTCATTTCCTTCCGTAAACACGAGCATCGAGAATGAGACTGGCTGGGGCAGGGATCGGCTTTTCGCTTCTACAGGTCCATACCTTGCTGTAGTCCTTAATCCAGACGGGCGGAATTCAGCTGAGCCAGCTGCCAAGAGCAGCTAAACCTGCTGTTATGCCAGCCACGATCCGCTCCCATGCAGCGCCGTTTGGGCACTAAGTAGATCTTTTGGTTTAGTGATGAATCCCGAAAATGCCAATCAGAGCGAAGATGCCGCCCTTTGTCAGGCGGAAAACGCCTGTTTTCTTTTGGCTGCTTGGGTACTTACGGTCGAGTTCCTGCCACGGCCTGCTGACTGCAAGGGACAAGCAGGTGACAAGGTGACAAGCAAGCGACTTGAATATCCCAAAACAAGCGACTGAGCCGCATGCGCTGGGTCTGCGCCGGGCAGGACCAGAGATTCCTTCTGCGTAACCTTGCTGCATGTGGGTTGGTGCCTCTTTCGGACCCTGACCCAGCACGTCACTGGGTCTTGTCTTTCCTCTCTCTTCCAGACTCTCCCACTCTCCCACTCTCCCACTCCAGATCCAGATCGACCGTGTCGCAGCGTATCATGCTTCCAGAAAACTTCCGTCGAGTCGGCGCAGCTTTCGCCTGTGGCCCTTGCGCATGGAGCGTCAACCCGTAAAAAGACGTCTTTCGGAACCATCCTACCAGCCCAGTGGCCAAACAGGGCGTGGAGCCGAGGTTCCATGACTCGTTTTGGCCTCTTCGAGGATCCAGCTCTGCGGGTGGCCTTTGACTTCATTTCTACGCCATGTAGCACTGACGAGGCGCCCTGGCTTTCAAGGGCTCCAACCCCAGCCCATTGCATGGGTTTCTCACCGGGCAGATGGTTCTCATCGGACGGATCTTTGCCATCTTGTGCTCGGTTTGTTTTTAGGAGGGCACCCTTCTCAGCCAGTCCCTGACAGCCATGATGGTTCTGTCTCTCACTCCTTCGATCCATGGCCTGGGCGTTTGCTCATCAGCGTGTTTCTCCGGGCCACTTCAGTGGTGCTGACGGGTGGTCTAGTGCCAGCGGGTAGTGGCCGTGGCTAGCGCCAGCCCTGTCGTGACAAGGCGAGCTGACTGAGAGGTCTCGCTTTGTCATGTCCTGAAGATTTTGCCATGTTTTCTCCATGCTAGTTGTTAGTTACCCGGGGACCATGCCTGTTTTCACGAGACAGGCCGAACAGTCCAAGCGGCGTCGCGCCTATGTGTGCAGATTGCCGCCACACCCTTCGCCTCAACCCACCCCTTTTTCAATTCTCACCCCCCGAATCCGCTGTGCTGTGCTGCAAACTCACCACACCCTCATCATCCTGCACGACTCGGGTCACTGGACATATAAAAGAGGTCGCTTTCGTTCCATGGCAATTACTTCTTGTCGAATTGGGTAGCCTTAATACATCAGGTTTGCTGGTGTTCGACTCGACGCAGACGACCATACAATCAAAGCCAACCAACTGTCCCGTTTTTCCAACACAAAAGGTACAGCCCTTCCTCCCTGAGTCTGCTTACACTCTGCCCTTTCCCTCTCACGCATTATCTTTTAATTTGCTGCAAAATCACCGACAGTTTCGGATTTGGGCAAGCATTCTTTCTCCTGTCTCTCTCTCTCTCTCTCTCTTGTGTCCATCCCCCCGGAACACTCTATTATTGTCTTCAGCTACCTATTGTACCAACACCACGCACCCACTGATGACTACTTCGTGATCACTCTCCAGCTCGCTCCCAGTCTCTGGGCGCAGCCCGGGGTACCGAATGAATACAGACCAGACATTAACTTTATGTGTATCTATCCAGCTGCTTCTTTCGCCAACGATCTGCGCAGGATTTGCTCTGTGCCTCGGGTGAGAGTTAGTGAGGTGTGTGGCTCTGGGCGTGGTGGGAGGCGATTTGTTTACGGGCCAACACCGGTGTCACTACCCAACCCCAGGCATTGCGGCGACGGCCCCCAATCACGACAGTGCTGACGGGCTTCTCGTTTGCGAGAGCCACAGTCTGCTGGCAAGTGGCTACATAAGTGCTCGAAATGCCATTCACGAGAGCGCGATCGCAGCTGCCAAACAACAGTGTGACGGTGAACTCGACACCATCTCGCCGCTTCCCAGGCCTCACTCCCCATGCCTCCAGCTTCTCTCTGCTCACATCTGGCCTCCTCATCCTCATCGCGCTCGTTGCAGCGAGGCGCATCGTGGCCAGCCGCCTTCGGTCTTTGGCCTGCAGAGACAGATTTTCCCGGAAGGATTACGATCAAACCCCCTTAGCGCGTCCTAGTGGGTTTGCGCCAGGGAACAGGGTTGTTCTGGGGGACCGTAAGCAACGGCAGGTTATTACTTGGATGGCGGCTTCGGATTCAACCATGGAAGAGTCACGTGGAGTCAGCAGTGATGACCCTGCGGCCGTCTTAAGGACTCAAACGCCCACCACAGCTGGGGGCGAGCTGAGACGCCCTGGCTCCCCCCCTGCACCCGAGTCTGGCCTTGCCGATGGAGCCGGGAACGAAAAGTCAACAATGGACGGCGAAGGCTGGCCTGGAACGCACGCAGATGCAGTAGAGAGCAACACATCCCACACTGGCGGCGTCGAGGCCGTTTTTAAGAGGCCCCGATCACCTCGGGACGTGTCGATGCCCAGACAATTCATATATCGGCCCTTCCCGATGCCTCCTCCTTTTACCCCTCCGACCTTTGTTGATACTAGCGCCCATAGCGGCCATTATCCAACGGGAATGGACCCTTGTCCCTCGGAGCCCTCGGGGTATCCCACAAACATCCCGCCCTCTCTCGCGCATCAGCACCACGAGGATCCCATGGCATCCCCTTCTCCTTCCTCAGGCAGGAGAGACTTACCGTCACTTCCGAGAAGACGGAGCTACACGAGAAGCATTCCTATCAACATCGCCATACCCGCAACCCGGGAGCTAGACCAGACGGAAGCGGATGTTTCATATCCCAGTTTCGCTCCTGCCTCGTACCCCCCGAGATCCCCACTGATGCCGCCACCTCCCCCGGGACATCACAGTGGTCATGCTCACGCGGAAGATGACTCTCCAAGGCATATCAATGTCCACGGCGAGATCATATCCTCCGTGGACGAGAACGGAGTGGGTTGGACACGGCATACTAGGATATATGGTGGAGGCCCATGTTTGGCATGTGAAGCCGCTGGCGGCGGCGGTTTCTACGGTGCAACCGTCCCTCCAGAGCACCGGAGATAGACGAGGAACGACATAATCAACACACCATCCTGGCAGTCATGTTTGCTTCCTTGGTTGCATCAAGTCGGGCGAACTAGCGATGGGGCACTTCACTCGGCGAAGGAGGTCACATAATGGGCACGAGGTTCGCTTGACATTGCGAGGAAAGTGGCGAGTCGGGGCAATCGTGACGACGTTACGGCTTGGTCGGCCACACTTGTCAAAAGGGGGCGTACGAACACAAGGGGTTTCAAAGATCATTGGATTCGGTGTTTTCTTTTCTATCTGTCATGAGTGATACTTCGTTGTCTTACGACCGTTACGAACGATTTTATGTTTATGATTAGCTTCTCATATTTATGCAATTGTCAGCTGTAGTAAAGATAGAGAAATATTATTTATCTCTTGGGGAAAATTTATCCTCCTGAAATACGTGCACATGACATCCATTCTTAGCCAAACAGAGGTATTCACGAACAACGTAAGCTCTATCACTCTTCTGTACTAAGATCCCCTGATCCATGTATAGGTCCGTGTAATCCTCGCAATGGAAGTAGCCAATCATAGCTGTCTTGATGTCAGATCCTGGGAGACTTGACGAGTCCAAGTCATCGCCGATGGCCTCACGTCATGCCAACCTACCTGAGAATGTGGAGCTGCTGGGCCAGCTGGCATATACGAAGTGGTCACAAATGACCATGCACTGGCTGTTATGAATATTCCGTACCATGGAGCGCACCGACCTCCGCTTGCTTAGAATCATGGTAAAGTTCCCAACAGGGTATTTAAAGAAAAAAGGCTGCTCACAGTATGGAGAGGCTAATGGACGCTTTCTAGATCCGTTACTTGGACTTCAGATCTCGTGCTCAAAGTTGCGATCGGAATCCCATCGTTCCGAGAGAAGCTGGACGGGCTGCACTGCAGAGGACGAGCGACAACTAGTCACCCTGTGGGATGTGATATAGCTAGAACGAGGGGTGAGTACCTATGGCTAGCCGGACGGACCGGGGCGTCCTGGTCTCCGAGGCTTATCTGCTCCTTTCGCTCGACGTTATGGTAAGATCACCTAGCCAAAACCGGTGATGACATTACCCGTACGTCTGGCGACCGGTCAGAGTCAGGTCTTGCCGATTACCTAAGGATTAATAGGAACAGAGATGGCCACAATCACCAATGCAGTTAATCTTTGTAGGACTGCATGCTCATGTGAACCGAAGCTGGTCTTCATTGTCTTTGTATTCCGACTTAGCACACTTGTGGCCTGATGCTTCTTGAGCAGAGAGGCCGTACGTATACTCGGCACTAGAATCAAGCACCGGCAAGACTCCAATACAAGATTCCACGAGAAGGCACATAATCACAGCGAGGAGGATTTGATGGATAGCGGTTTCTATGAGAACCCATACGGCTCCGACATGTATTGTAGAGTCGCACGTTTGTCTGTAGATTGAGCAGGTGAATCAATGAAGACAACACGATCGAAAAAGGGCGAAATACTCACGGCGAAGATTCCTAAAGCTTGAAGTGCACAAACATCTGATGTACTGACAATTCCATCTTTCCAGTGATTCTGGTTCATCCCGGTTCGGAACCTGTTCAGAAGAGTTTGTCAGTCGCGTGAACATGATTCAGAGATGTGGCAATCATCTAGACTGCTCACAGCGGCAAATTAATGGCGAATCCTAACGCTGTCAACGAGTGCTGGGCGTGAGGGGGATTGGTAATCATTGTGACAATGTCGGATTGCGCTGTTGGAACATGGAGGATCTGCGAAACAGGATCTACATTTCGGACGTATATTTACCACAGTTGAAGGGCAAGTTGCGGCTCGGGGTGGAGAGCGAACAAGTCTACCGAATCTTTGCTACCTGGAACTAGTCCCATACTCAACAAAGACAATGGACTTGCTTCGCTTCGACTGTGATTGGTATGTGCTTGCTGAGTGGTGTTCATGAGTTGTTCCTACAGCAGCGTCAAGGTCAGCCCGACCTGCAAGATATCAAGGGCACAGAAGTACACATACATCCTGAAAGAGATCCAACAAGACCTTGTTATTCATGTAGTAAACGCTAGTCCCGTCCTCAAGGAGCACCTCGAAATGTACCGGGGGAGGTGCAGATTTATGTGCAGTTACATCTTCTCGGAAGACAGGCTGTTGTTTGCATGTTCCTTCCGGTGTCGTTGTAGAGGGGAAATGTCGTAAATCTCGATCCAACACTCCCGATAGAGTCGCTTCAAGTCGGCTGAGCTGACCTGATATATCCTGCAGTGAAACTGTCTTTTGAGGATGCCGCCTCAGTTGGCTGGGTTAGGTGCATTGCCATTTCGTTCGAACACACTGAGAGTAAGGTAATCTCTTGTCACATCGCACCTTCCGCGCGTGACAGTTGACACAGGAGCGACCGATCTGCGGCATGGTGGGAACCTCATTCACCGATGTCGGGCCACAATCGGAATTACCCGTGGAGTGTTGCGCCGCCATGGTTTCGAGGGATTTTCCAAACATGACTTAGTGAAGGAGCCGCTAGCATTCGTGCTGTGAGGTGCCTAAGATGTTGCCATAGGTGAAGTCATGCTGTGTTGGCTTCCAACATGAATCCCCGTGTTAAAAGCCGGTTGGCTGACATTTACAAGTGTACCAAGCCGGCCGGGGATATCGGGAAATTGTGAACCATTCAACCCCTATCCAAGGACAGCGAATCGCCAAACATTGCTCGATTTTCGGCGCCGAGCATTCCCGAAGCTGATTGAGCGGCTGTATGCTATGATATACATAAACCGGACTGGATTTTATTATTTAAACCTTGTCACCCCCGGCGTATACGGCAAGACCATGTGCTTCAAATAGAAAGATGTACGAGAATGATACAACAAAGTATGACGGAAGACACAACACTTCAGCGGCCCAGGCACGATCATCATTTGGAAGTTGTGGCCTCCAACACGTTCTCGGGATCCTATGCCGATCTCCAAACTCTGCATCCTCCTTCTGAGCGACCCAACCAGTCAAAAGATGCCCCAGAGGGTGGCTACGGCTGGGTGTGTGTTGCGGCAACATTCTTCATCAACGCCCATACATGGGGTGTGAACTCGGTATGATACAGATCAACGAGTTGATTTGCACAATGCTGACCGTTATCTAGGCCTATGGTGTATTCCTCTCATTCTATCTGTCCGACAATACCTTCCAGAGCACCTCCGCGCTCGAGTATGCGTTTGTTAGCAGTCTCAGCATCGCTATTGCCATGCTTGTATCGCCTCTGGCAACATATATGACTCACCATCTCGGTGTTCGACTGGTGGTAGCCATGGGAACGATACTCGAGGCGGGATCGTTCATTGCGACTTCATTCGTCCACGAAAGCTGGCAGCTGATGCTATCGCAGGGAATATGCTTTGGGCTTGGCATGGGTCTCATCTTCGTGAGTTCCGTCGGGGTTATATCACACTGGTTCGACAAGCGACGCAGTCTTGTCAATGGGATAGCGGCAGGCGGATCCGGAATTGGTGGCCTCATATACTCGTTAGCAGTGGCTACCATGATTCCGCGACTTGGTCTGCCCTGGGCGATGCGTATCTTGGGCATCATATGCCTGGTCGTGAACACCATTGGAGGCTTGCTGCTCAGGCTGCCTCATCGAAACAATGCCTCCCACAAACAGCCCCCAATGCGGCTGGGAATTTTTCGCAACCCGGCGTACCTATCCCTTCTAGCATGGGGAATCATGAGCTCGATGGGATACGTTGGACTGCTGTTCAGCCTCTCTAGCTATGGTGTGGCGGTCGGTCTTTCCCAACATCAAGCCAGCATCGCGAGCGCACTTCTAAACCTTGGCCAAGCTTTTGGCCGTCCGCTCTTCGGCTTTATCAGCGATGCTCTGGACAGAGTCAGTATGGCCATCGCAGCAACATTGTTCACTGGTGTCTTTTGCTTCGTTGCTTGGATCTTCGCACATTCGATGGGAGTGATCTGCTTCTTTGCGATCGTGGTGGGCTTGACCGCAGGGACCATGTGGGCAGCAGCTGGTCCCATCGCCTCTGAAGTCGTTGGCCTCTCTGAGCTTCACGGGGCCTTGGGCTTCTTTTGGTTCTCTATAGGGGCACCCATGGCCGTTGCGGAGCCGATTGCTGTCCAGCTTCGGGGGGGCACAACCGCGTCGAAGCCGTACCTTCGAGTACAGATCTTCATAGGGTCGATGTATATAGGCGCGTCAGTCTGCTTGATGGTGCTCAAAATGTTTGCGCAACGAAGCAGGTGATATCCAAGACAGGTTAGAGCTGCTGGTCCGCACCTGACTAATCGGAATGCCCGTGTTCCGCATCGCAGGCTCATCCTGTGCCGGGAATAAACAGGCACTTTCTGACCCTCGAATCCCGTCTCCGCTGATGCCTGGCTTCCATACACTTCGGTCCTTCCCACAGCCAACCCATTGGCTCCCACTCCGAGTGCCAAGCACTATCGTTCGGTTCAACAGGTATTAGGCAGACAGAAATGGAAACGGCCAACGCTTTAGGCCGAAGCGCCATTTTCTCTCACGTGCCAAGACGCAATGGCGGATTGATCTGATAAGATAAGATCATCCAGATCAAAAACGGGAGGGGAATGCAACCCGGACCATGATCAGATTGCGATCCCACATGCCTCGGCAGACTGGAACACTCGCGGCCTATGGATTACTCCTACTAAAGTCAATGCTCCCTCCAGCCTACCCTCAGTCACGGTCCCTGAAGAAAGTGAGGACTTGTCGTCTTGATCATGGCTCCTGGTCAACCCATTGTCATCCCCTCTGCTGAGACGTTCAATCTCACCAGCAGGACTGGGTATGAATACATCATCAATATTGGTTACCCGCGGAAGTGGCAGTACGACAGTATTCGCCAGGAAGGGAAGACGATACCCATTATGTGAGGACTCTACTCGGTCCCTTGAAATGTATGGAAGCCAGCACTGACATTAACCCAGATATTTGACAGATGGAAACTCGATCTTCCATAGTTCGCTCGAGGAGCTTCACCGGCGACTCTCCTTTGGAGTAGTCGGCACGAGAGAAGGCGTGGTCGTGTCAATCGGCTACCAGATTCCTCCCGAGACAGGTTTCTTGTTTGAAATTCGGAGGTCGTGGGACTTCACGCCGGCCCAATCCTTGACCACTGGCCAAAAGGAGGGGGGTGCGGTCGAGTTCATTGAGTTTCTCGAAGGAACGTTGAAACCATTTATCTCGGCGCGGCTGATGGAGAAGCGTGGGCTCAGGCCCGGCCGCGAGGCTCTATTTGGACACTCTCACGGGGGCCTATTTTGTCTTCATACATTGTTCACGCGCCCGAACCTCTTTGACTGCTTCCTTGCCAGTAGTCCCAGCATATCCTGGCATGAGGAGTTTGTCCTCCGCGAGGAGCAGACATTCGTCACTGCTGTGGCAGACGCAACCGCGCGAAAACCGTCATTGATGCTATTTGTTGGCGGGCAGGAATCTACAGCGCAGCGGCGGCGGGAAGAGCCCGAGGAGGTCTTTGCCAAACGCAAACAGGGCCACGAGAGTCGTAATGTGGTAGGGCGCACGATTGCCTTGTACGATCGGCTGAAGGATTGTCCACGGCTCGAGCATGTGTCTCTCGATGTTTACGAGGCCGAAGATCATTGTACAGCTATCCCTTGCGCGCTGACACGGAGTTTTGCAAGGTTCCTTGATGAGTGGTATTAGTGAGGTAGTATTGAAGAATCAGCTTGCAATTCTCGTACGTGCATTGAGACGGTTAGTACCTAGATATCTATAGTTGCAACCAAACCAACAATGTTAAGCTGCCATTGACAGGCGATAATCCCGTCCGTTGTCATTTGCACTACGCCTATCCGCCCTCCTGCTGCTGTGGCCGATCTTAGGTGCACTCCCAGTTCTCGGCTTTCTTTTCATCACCACCCTTGAACAGCTGTTTCTTAGGGTAGACACACCACGGCCGTTGGCGTAGAAACCCGGCAGCCGGATCTGAATCGTTCTTGAAAGAAGTTGCAATGATTTGGTCGACTGAAGTACCCTTTTCCACCCAGTCCATCAGCGCCAGCAAGCCATTGTGCTTGGGGTTGTCTAGCTCGCGGGGGCCAGGCCGGCCCCTTGTCTGACCAGCCCCGGCAATATACCACGGCGCCCCAACAGCAGTACCCCTCGAGTGCTGCATGCCCGGTGCCATAAAAAGACGGAACCAGTTGTCGAGCTCAGACTCGTCGGCTGTCGCATTGGCAATAAACTCCCGTAATAGCAGTGACGATTTCGGCACTATCAATCCGTCTGCCCAGCCATGGAACATGATCATCTTGCCACCTCGCTTGGCAAATTCGCCCATCGCCGCATAGTCGTCTGGCGTAGAGTTCCCAGGATCTCGTTCGATAGCCATGGCGACGAGGCTATCATTGTATTGCTCCCATATCCAATCTGGATCGTCTAGGAGGAAGTAGTTGATATACCCATTAACCGGGGGTTGGTCCGACACAACCGAACTTGGCCACATCAGCTCTGAGGAAAGCTCCATTCCGGGATAAATCAAGCTGCCGTTAATTGAGTAATTGCTATAAATGGTTTTGAGAGTGTCGATCTGGGCCGGGACTAAGCATGCAGATGCATTTGCATTCGTATTGGCGCATGACTTATCGCACGCGAGGGCGTTGACGTCAAACTTGCAGCCATTGGTATCCGAGATGATGCCGTCCTTGACGCCGTCCACCTCATCGCACTGTCTCATGACTTCGTCCGCGATGGTCTTCAAGGATGAGACCGGGATGCTATGAGGCGCCCCCAGGGGCAGATTGATACTTTTCCAGTAGCTGCCTGAAGACGACAAATGGCTCACCCACCAGGCTGGAGCACCGAGGAGAGCACCATCGAAGCTATCCGCATGTAGCTGTATCTCTTTCAAACCCTGTCGGCCGCCGGTCGATGTTCCGCTATAATATGAAAATTGGATCTTTTTCTGGTAGTAGGCTTCAACTAGTTGCTTTCCAAGTTTGACTGAACCTTCCATGGCCCTGTATCCCCAATCCTTACGCTTATCCTCCGATCGGAAGGCCCATGTTACATCCCATGCCGTAGAGTTATGGCCTGTGTCTGTGGAAATCACTGCGTGGCCGTAGCGGGTACCATATCCCATGTCTGCCCAGTTGATGCCACCGGCAAGGCCGCCATTGCCAACCGCCAGGAAGCGTTCATTCCAGTCTACTGGCAAGAACATGCCAAACCTGTAGAATGTCGTTTTGGAACTCCTGACACTGATCGTGACCGCGCAAAGTTCCGGGAGTTCAGTGGCGTTAATAGGATAAGCAACATTGGCAGGGCCCTCTCCATAGCTCCCTCCAGCCTCGACCTGGATGGCAGAGACCACGGACGCATTTTTCGGTAGCAGGCCCCTGAAGGCGCAGATGCTGCAGGCGGACTTGGGCTTATCTGATCGAGCTGCAAAGAAGGCGGCATCAGAGTTGAAAGTAGCTGTGCTCTGGGCTACCAAAACGCCCGACAAGTTGACCAATAGGCGTGCCAATCTCATTTTGACTGTTGAAGGGATCGAAGCCTGGCTCCGTTAGTGCTTCGTCCTTTTCAAGGAGCCATCCAAGGTTGAGCTGTTGCTTTATGTAGTGCTCACCGTATTTTCTCGACATCTGCCGATGCAGTCCAACCCACCAAGACTTGCCGTTTGTCACGAGGGCTCGACTAAAGCAACTAGTCCGCACAAAGGCCCATATCCGCTGTTGAAGTTGCAGTTCTCCCCTGGCAACTCCGCACTGTCTCCGCACAACCCCTGATTGAGGGTCACACTAATCGGAAACAAACAACCGAATTCAAGGCCAAACTCCACCATGACGTAGCTGGGGGAGAGCATTGTGTATCAAGTCAACCCTTTGAGCTTAGGAACGAAGAATGGACTTGTCCTGCCTAACAGTGGGCGCCATTCCAAATCCTGCTCTTATTAGGGTTGTCACACAATATCCTGCACCAAAAGCAGATCAGACACCGATCCTTCCAGACAGGACCCAGATGACTTGAGGTGTGCCCTAAGCATGTTATTGATGGTCAGGCATATTAATCCTGATAGATGCACTTGCTGATACTTGATGATATTGATTTAGCGTGCTACACTGAGCCACGAAATATCAGTTGAGGAGTCATACTGATAAAAGAATCTATTCTGGGACATATCCGTGCGAACCTGCCAGAAAGTAGTTCGAGTCCACTGACTTTGTTGACCAAAGCCTGCCACCCATGCGATACTGGTGCTTGTGGCATCCGTTGTCCCGCAGCCAGCTTCGTTCCCTAGTCCTGAGTCCGAGAAACCTAATCAGAAGAGTGGTAGGAATCTAGTGCATTTGAAGCCCAGATTCCAGATCGGCATGATGAACGAGCGGAGTACAGAATGGTGAAATACCACGAGAGCCTGAGCACGTTGACTTGGCAACCTGTCGCTGAATGAACGCGAGTCGTACGCGAGCGTCCCACTCAAACCAAGTATTTGATATCTTCGCGAGAGGTTAGCGTCTCTCTGCTCAGTATTGTCACTTCGGACCGCCAGCGAGCAGACGTAATCGTACAGTATATCATGAATCGGGTCAACTACTGAATCTGAGCACGGAAATATTTCATCGTCGACTTTGGATATGTTGAGAAGACAACTCCGGCCGGCTCGTGGGTCATCGGTTGGTATCACTATCGTACCCATACCCTGACCCTATCCAGTAATTTCTTTGCATAGAAGAGTGGGAGCAAAGAGTTTGAGAGGTCCAAGGTAGCTATGGGACAGACATAGGAAATGGTCCATTGGAGGCAGTTCAAGCTTCTTGTGGCCCTGGACGGGAGGCATTGAGTTTTGGAGATCTATGATTTGCTTTGTTGGCTCAAAGACATCTTAGGAGTATCGCAGTAAGAGACCTTGTGCTTCCTGCTGGTACTTAACGGTAATGACGAGTTCGACAACTCTTTGTAATTCCGACTCTAGCTCGTCATGCAGGCCTACTTATCCGCAGATGTTTGTTTCCGCGATCGGGTTTTCCGGCTGACGGCGATATACGTACAAGCGGAATCGTGCATCACACAAGACAAGCAGCGCAAGGATTGACCATCGCATTTAATCTTCGATAGCAATGATCGCAAGGCATGTGCGGAATCGAGATATAGGTGTACGGTTTACTTGAATTTATAGGCTGGGACTGCCTCCCTTCTTTGAGCAATCTAACTTGGAGGTGCGTCTCGAGAAGCAGCTTGAATATGCAGCAAGGGGTTGGCGGCTGTAGCTGAGTCCATGCACCGAAGTTGCGATCGGGATGATTCCATGTGAAACCCATAGAGTTAATTCCGTGGAAGAAGTGGATATAGGTTCGAAATGGCCCGGTTGACAACGGAGCATTCTCGAAGTCAACCCATAAATGAGCAAGCGTGCTTCCCTATTGACAAATATTAAGTTGGAGCCCCACGGTTCCATCACTCAATGGCTGACAAAGCCGTCGACGGCTGTCCTGCCTGGCTCCGACATGTCTCGGCTGCAGAGTTAATCTGAATCAAAAGATTTCTGTGCAGGCAGACGAAGCATTGACGTGATCAAATCCCGGTAGGTGATGGGATATAGGGGACTTTTTATTCAACAAATCCCGCAAGTGTAGAGATGATAAAAAATTCGACGGCCTTCTCGTTGTCTCGCTCGAGTACAAAGTGTGCCGGACGCTTCTTCTTGCAAGTACATGAATTTGTAAATCTTGGGCCACCCACTTCCTCATCCTCCAACAGCAAAAGTCATCCACCCTACAAATCTTATTATTCAGCTTCCAAACTTTCAGAACAAGTCCAAGGGTATCTCAGGATATGTCGATCTTCAAACGGGAGAAGACGGATGTCCCAGCTCCATCGTCGACACCCACCAGCGACGGCAATTCGGTTGAGGAAGCGGAAGCCGACACAAGAGATTTGTATGGCTTTCGCTGGTTTTTAGCCTGCGCTGGATTGTATGTGGCTACCTTTCTTTACGGCCTAGATACCACAATTGCTGCGGATGTTCAAGGGCCGGTTACCATCGCCTTTGGCCATGTTGAGCAGCTTGCCTGGGTTGGAGCAGGGTTCCCTCTGGGCTCTGTCTGCGTCATACTACTTCTTGGAGACCTGTACTGGGCGTTGAGCGCAAAATGGGTCTTTCTATCAGCTGTGGTTCTCTTTGAAGTAGGCTCGACTCTGTGTGGTGCTGCGCCCTCCATGAGCGTGTTAATCATCGGCCGTGTCGTCGCTGGAGCCGGTGGCAGTGGAATCTTCACGGGTGTCTTGCGTTATCTGTCTGCAATGACCACCGAGAAGGAGCGGGGCTTCTACATGTCGCTCATCGGCATCACCTGGGGATCCGGCGCTGTACTGGGCCCGGTTATCGGAGGTGCCTTCTCCGTGTCCTCGGCAACCTGGCGCTGGGCCTTTTACATCAACCTGGTCATCGGCGCCGTGGTTATCCCATCGCAGATCATGTATCTTCCACCACTCCACCCTGCCGACACGACTTCTTCTATTTTCTCCCGTCTTAGCAAAGTTGATTTGGTTGGATTTCTCCTGGGTGCCGGCGTGTGGACGACTTTCCTTTTGGCATTCACTATGGCAGGTAGCCAGTGGCCATGGAACGACGGCCGGACCATATCAACATTCGCAGTCTTCGGAGTGGTCTTGCTCCTCTACGTTTTACAACAGTACTTCTCGGTCTTCACCTCTCCTACTCGTCGGGCGTTCCCAGGCCATCTTCTCCGAGACCGTACGCAGGTCTTGCTCTATATTGTGACCGCGGCCAGCATTACCGTTTTATTCGTGGCCATTTACTACATTCCGATCTATTTCCAATTCGTCAATGATGATCATGCGCTCATGGCTGCTGTACGCCTCCTTCCTTTTGTTATCATCGCGATATCGACGAACCTCGCTGCAGGCTCCCTGCTCCATCTTATAAAGATGTATATGGTTATCTACGTCCTGTCTGGGGTCCTCATCGTTGTTGCAGGTGGTTTGCTGGTTGTATATCTCCATCCGGACTCGTCCACGGGCACGATATATGGATTGACAGTGGTAATTGGCCTTGGTGCTGGCCTAACAATGTTAATAGGATTCCCCATCGCCTCCCTGACAGCCAAACCGGCGGATGTGGGAGCTGCCCTGAGCATGCAAAACATCTCTCAGATTGGTGGACAGGTCATTGCTCTCGCGGTCGCAGGCCAGATCTACCAGTCTACAGCCGAGAAGAAGCTGTCAATGGCATTGTCCGGGCTTGGTTTCTCACATGCAGAGATTCAGAGCGCAGTCGCGGGCGCGCAAAGCTCCCTATTTACAAAACTTAAGGGAGAGGCTCGCGAAAGGGCAGTCAGGGCTGTTACTGAAGCTATGCAGATGACGTTTGTCCTGTTACCGGTCTCTGGTGGCATTCTTCTGATTGCAGCATTGCTGATGAAACGAGAAAGGCTGTTTGGAAAAACCATTGCTGTCGGAGGGTAGGAAGATACATTTCGACGTCAGCTGCGAAATTCAGTGTGCCACTTATGGTATTACTTTCTCTCTTGTATTAAATTAGACATATCTCCTATCCAAATTATGTTACACTTTATAGATTAATAGAAGTCTACTATGACAATAGATGTATCAAGCCGCCCAAAAGAAGACAAGCGACCTGACTAAGGGTTGCTTGTACTGTCAATGGCTTCAAGAACGTTGCTGAAGACGGTGCGTCTTTCGAATCCGTAGCAACACCTTGCCCTACATTATCTGTAGGCGTTCTCGTAGCGCTGCTCACAGTCGCTGTGCTCGAGGAATCGGGTTTAGTCGCTGACCTTGTAGCTGTTGCCGTTGTACTTGAGGAGGAAGTGCCGCCTTCGGAGTTTTCCCATGGTGCAAGAACGCATTTGGAGAATAGTTCGTTGTTGACCCAGCGGTCGCCTTGGCGGGTAGGAGTCAGACTGAGAACATACGAAGCCCCAAAACTGCCGGCGGCCCAGGCAACAAGACCTACGTATACGTCGGAGTTGTCGTTGATGACCTTGTTTTGGGCGCAAAACGCAGTCATGCAGCTGGAGTCACTTGACGCACCCGTCTCGCTAACCATGCCTATGCGCTTCTGCTTCCTTAGGTAGGCCGCCAACTCGGTGAAGGCTTCGGTATTGTTCGTTGTGCACTGGGCGTGCTGGCCCGAATTGTTCTCGTCCAGATACTTGTGAATGTCTAAAAGCAAGCCATCGTTGGAGCCGTCCGGGTTTGTGATCTTGAGCAGTGCTTCAGCGCTACCCGTTGACACGAGCGTCGCGGCGCTGTCGAAATTTGTTCCTGGCAAAAGGATCATCTGCTTGTCGGCGCCGGCTTTGCGAATAGCTGTCACCGCCGCCTGGCAAGTGTCGCTCCAGAGCTTGATATCGAGATCGTGCGGCTCGTTCATCAGGCCGAACACGACTTTCTTGTCGCTGGCGTAAGCGGTAGCCAACTGCGACCAGAGATCGCCAAACTGATCATTCGTCGGTCCGCCCTGCCCAATAATCCCGCCATCGAAGCGCGCAAAGTTGTGCATATCAATCATGCAATACGCGCCAGTGTTGAGGCAAGCCTGCATCAACTTGTCATAGCGAGCGAACGCGTCTTGATCAAACTTATCACCCGGTGACTTCCCATGCAAAAGGTATTGCCAAGATACAGCTATCTGGCCGGTCAGCAAGGCCAAGAGGTTCATCGAAACTGGGCCGCGTCTGCTTCTGCGTCACTTACGGAGACGGAACATGTTCAGCCCGTTGTCCGTGACAAAGTGCTTCATTTGTCCCTCGCCATCGGATCCACCGTATCCACTCAGGGGGAAAGACCCCGAGTTCACAGGACATGTGCCCTAGAAGACCAGAATTGACAGATCAGAGCAAGTTCGATGGGAACCTTCCAAGTTGACGTCGCAATGGACAAGTGATGCTGCCAACCTACATCGATATCACACCCAAAATCAATGCCCGCGATCGCTATGCCCTGTGGTTTGAGGTCAGCTGGGCATGTCTTACCCGAACCCCTGAGAAAAGGTGGACCAACCAAATACTGCACTTTAGCTTGCGCGACAGCAAATAACGCAGCGAGTAATCCGAGATGCTGAACAAACATAATTGGAATCAAAGCGAAGGAAGGAAATGCTCAACGAACGAAGAGAAACGGACTGGAATGCAACCGGGGATATAGGAGCTCCAGCGAAGAATACAGTCAGAAGAGGAGGATAAAAAAAGATGCAAAACGTCCGCCTCCCGCCTCCCGCATTACGAGGCAAGCGAGGGCTGAAGCGCACCATGTGCGTGGCCGATACGAGTGTATCCCCACTAAATCAGTGGCATCTCTTCGTATTCCCTCGCTCGGCTTGCTCGGCAGCTGAGGCTGAGCACTGCCTCAAAATTGGAGGAGCCAGTGGAGATTTCAAGGGATAACTACTTGTAGACAAAAGCCCAACAATGCAATAGCGCATGATTTTGGGCGTATTCTCTCGTAATAAGCGCTGTTCTGAGGTGAGGCAGATAAACTACAAATAGCCCGCGTGGGTCTCTCCTTTGATCCCACCCATTGTCACCGTTCAACGTTCATGTTTCAACTGATGCCACAGCCGCCACAACGGCCCGGGCCCGTTCCCTGTTGCCAGTCCAACGGGCGACCCACCCCTACACGTCCAGATCCGGTGGGCCGCTCAAGACAAATGACGACAGCAAGTCTTCAGACGTCAAACAGACCAGGCCACGCGCATATGTTGGGACGGATGAGGGCGTGGTTAGTTAGGACATCAACCACAAAGTACATACCTACAATACTGGATGTCTCAGTGATCCAGGCGGCATTCCTGGGGTCTGTTGTCGTACTATCTTTCGTCGCATCAGGGCAGCGCCCTGCGGCACCCACTATGAATTCGTCAATAGCCCATACAGTGTTTGTGTGTCTCAAGTGCTACGTGCAATAGGATCAGCAGCTCAAACAATAATCTAACAAGCGGTTTTTTTTGTGCCGTATTGGGTTCCTACCGCGACGCGTTCTTGAGACTTTTGTGTTTCTTCGCTTCACAAAGGGCTCCATAGCCTGCTCATCCTCCTGGCCTAAAATGTCCCACTGCGACTCCTCATCAAGCAACTTGGAGTTCCGTATATCGAAAAGTGCTCACCCAGAAAGATTTAGAAGATGGCCTGGAGAGCCCAGCTCTTTCGCGCAGCATAGTCGAGCCAGAGACGAACCGTCTCCTAATTAATTTACCTTAAATAAAATATCTGTGCTGGAACGCCCAAGCTGATCCCTTCACCAGCCATAATCCCATATACATATGCATCGCCAACAAGCGAGACATATCTTGTCCCAGGTGAAGGTCGTAGCAAGAACGGTGTCTTGCCGCCGTTTAACACACAGACCCAGTCTCCTGTTCGTGCATTCCACGGCGCGAGACCAACGTATCCCTTGCGTGTCACAAACATGGCCCGATGCGCCGTCGATCGATGGATGCGCTGCGCACACAAGCGGAATTCCACATCCCAATCCATATCCGGGTCCGAGTGCCCCGCTTTCATCCCAGTTCGGAATTGCTGCTTGGCGGACTTACCTAGAATCGACCATGCGGACCGGGTGCGCATGTTGGCCATGTACGACGTATCGTGCCCTTCGTAGAACCATTGCTTTGCGCAGAACCAGTCCTTGACTAGGGATAGGTATGGCTCAGTGGCAGCCTCTTGACCCACGTAGTCGGCTATGTGTGTCCGGAGGACAGCCTCGAGCCGGCCACCCGCCAGCCTCTGATATGGACAGTCGGGCACCGTAGCTGTACCCATAGTCACCCACATTTCACGGACGTCGCCTTCTCTACGCCACAAGGGGACCAGGTTGGTCTCGGGGTGATATGCTTCCGCCATCACCGCCACCTCGTCAAAGAGAAACCCCTCCAGGCCTAGCGTGTGCGTGTCGCCAAATGTGTGGATCTGTGCAGGCGTACTCGCGCAGGCATCATAACGACAGCCTCCCTGCTCCCAGGAAAGCAGAAGACTCGGGTCACGATCTGTCCTGGAGGCCCAATTGGGGACCCAAGATGGCAGATTCGCCAGGCCAAGTCGGGAGAGTAGGTCCGAAAGTGATTCCCGTTGCTGCTGAGCCTGCACGTCTGGATCGTACCGGAGCACCGTTCGTCCTAGGTTATCCCAGGTTTTGGTCCATCCCTCTGGACAGATGCGAAATTCAGTTGGGTGGTGAGCTTCTCGAGGCGAAAGGGTCTTGAGCGGGCTGAAATCCGACTTATTGCCAGAGTTATGGTCATAAAAGTAGCACGACTCTCCCTGTGAGACGCGCTCCCAGCCGGTGGGGAGCGGTGCCCAGCCGTGACTGGGCTTGGACTTTGCCTCCCGCTGGATCAAAGCGTCAATATCGTGATATTTCGCCTGGTCGAAACAGTTATACGCAAAGGTGGGCGTTGTTTGTAAGGCCACACCTCTCCACTCGCGTACGCAATTCAAGACATCAAGTGATGTAGTCCCGCTAATCAGTTTTCGTGCAAACTTGATGTAAGTCTGTGCTGGCGGAGCGCCATAGTCGGGCACAGTCAGCGATCTGATCCTGTCCGGAAGCAGCCCGAGGAAAGCGAAGATTCGATCTCGATGATCCGTGCAAAGGAGGCCCCTACAGTTGAATAGTACTTCGGTCGGCTGAATCTGCTCGGAGTCTTGACATCTAACTTTTCGCAGCTGGTCAATGACGTGGAAACGTGCGTGGAGTTCCGGTTCCTCTGGACACCGGAGCAAATTGTACGTCTCTCCTAGAGAGCAATCTGCCGCCGACGCATTGATCAACTTGCGCATCATGTCCCATTCGAACAACTCGGATCCGCAGAGAAAGACCACCTCCTTAGCGACGACGACTTCTTGTAAGATCCACACACGTGTCCACCAGGGACGGCTTAGCAGCTCTCTAACTTCGCCAGACTTCATCTCCTCGACCAAGTACGAATTGTGGAAGTTAACCCGAAGGTTTGGGAGCAGTTGGTGAGCGGCGCCGTCCCTGAACCACACCCTACTGCAGAAGATAAAGTCGTTCATGTAATCGCTACGATCCAGCTTGTGGGTCGAAAGAATGGTCGCCAGCATGTTGTCCTTGGTCTCGCCAAGCCAGACGAGGACGCGATCTGCCTGCTCGTAGATCCGATGCATTACCGGAATCTGCACGTTCTTCTCAGCAACGTCATCCTGGTTGATGCATAGAGCGTCCATCCACACCCGACGCGTCTTGGATGAAAGCCGCAGCCGCCGTAGCGCGACTTCGGCGTTTTCGTATATACCAAACGAGCGACCGTTCAGGAAGACAAATCCACCGGTACCCTTCGTGCCCCAACAGTACGAAACGGCCTCATATCGGGGCGGCGTGGCGAGAGACGTGTGCTCCAGTGAGCAGACCAGAGGCGCATCCAGCGCGGTAGCCGGGTGAATAATCAAAAGACGAATCTCCCCGGCCTGGCGAAAGGGGGTGTAGATGAAGGAGGAGGCCGATGGTTCTGGCAATGGCGGGCGTGGTGATCGTGGTGGCAACGGCGGGGGGGCGTCCATCTCGTTTTGTCGAGGAATTGATACACCACAGCCAAGACGATTGATGCGATTGTTTTAGTGACCACATACAATCGGCAGAACCCGGTTGCTGTATGCAATAACGGCAGGACATGGCAAGCTCGCGAAGCTCGTGATGTATTTGATTAGCCGAGATGAGCCCGGTGGGGTAAAATCCTGGCAACACTAATAAGTAACGTTTCTAGAGTCTGATGTCAGCTATTCCTCCACTATACGAAAACCCTTGACTTTGCAAAGCACGTGAACTCAGAGTCCTTCCCTACAAAAATAGAGGTTATATCAACTTCTACACTAGAAAAGGCATGCACGAAGTTCTTCGGAAACATCATCTGAATATATATATATATCTATATATTAATCGAGTGTCGCAGACTTCTTTGTGTATGTTATCTTGTTTATGCCTGTATCCAAATAGTTTGATGATATTTACTACTAAGCCTCGCTAAGAGAGCGTTACTTGTTGATCCTTACTTTCAGCAAGTAGACTAGTCGAGTCCAAATAGAACAGTGGACCCAATGACACGACCACTTACGGCGACCGCATGTGTACACACAGCTCTTGGACATAGCCTCAGGAGACTGTAGGGCTTGAGGCTGGGTCTACCTAAACATTCAAGGCCTACACATTGTCCTCAGTATGCCACTTCTCTTGTCTCTCTGCTGTTAACCTATGCTGGACTGCTGATTCTTAGTCATTACCCTAGGTGGTTGATGATGGGTGCGAGATTTGCATGTCTTGATGAGGCTTCACGTCGCTGATCCTCAGACCCCAACATGGGCGTTGATCAGCCAACAAAGCGCGAGGTGGTCGTACGGAATGTGATGTATCGCTGTATATCAACGCCATTGCTATTACCTCTGACACGCCTAAAACTTAGTGGGAATGGAGGTAGGTATTCAGATTTGTGCTAATTTTCTGTTAATTAAGCAAAGATTATAGCCTCCCTGATGCTCGAAGAACACTTCCCTACGGAGACTGTCTGCTCTCCAAGCGAATCCGTGCTCTCGATATTTCCGTTGCCCTGATTCGGCTTAGTGGGCGGCGCGGCGTCGCGGTGTCACGCACGAACGTTAAAAGTCCATCTGGAGAGCTCCACCCAACACTCACAAACTAGGTACTTGATGTGCCGAACCTGTGTCGAAGTGTTTGACCTCTGGCTGGTAGCAAGAGCACAGTCTATCCTCAGCAACATAGACCAAAATCCTTCTCGGCCAAAGGACGTGATTCGGCCCAGGTTTTCCAAGGGATTTCCGTCATTCGCACACCTGCGTGGAATTCCATCGGTCTCATCAATACAGCCACATCTTGTTTATGCCTCGTTGTTATCGTTTTAGCTGCTTCATTGTGGGGTTGCGCCGGGATGTTAGGCAAAATTGCGGATTCATTTCTGTTCAGCTGAAAGCGCGACTTTATGCTTCTTATCGTTTTTGAGTGTAGCGTAGGCGGAATGGCGCCGCAAATGAGAAAAAGGAAAGGAGTTCGTGCTGGGGGAAATACAGTCAAAGCTGTTTTAAAAGGGTGCCAAGGCCCGGTGATGCTTGGCTGTCCTATTTTGCCCTAGAATCAACCACTGATCGCCAAGCCCGCTTTGCCAAGAGAGCTTCTACTTCACTATCACTCAAAGATGCAAATGTCACTACCTCTCGTCCTACTCGCGGGCTTGAGCCTAGCCGAGGCCGCGATCACGCTGACCAGCAACGGCTGCGTCGATACCCTGGGATTCGAGCAGTGCGCCAAGGCCGCCAGTGACATGGCCTCGGCGTGCATCAGCAAGGCTGATAGCGACCGTAGCCAGACCGAGACCATCGCCTGCGGCTGCGCCCAGTACCAGGCCAACTACAACTGCTATGTGACGCACTGCTGGAACCGAGTCTGGGAGTGCGAGTACCAGGAGTACCTCGTTGAATATCTCAAGCAGTGCCCCATCGCAAAGACCCCCTTGCCTTATTTCCCTATCCCGGACAATGTCCAGGATAGCTGCTCATGTAATGTCGGCAAGATTTACAATGCCTTCATCGATGCCATCGACAAGTCCAACACCTGCATATCCAAGGCCGGTGCCGGAAGCAACGCCTTCACCACCATGGAGGCTTGCAAGTGCTGCATGGTCAGCGAGACGCTCTCTACGTAAGTCTTTGTTTCCATTTGAGCAGTCCTGGAGTGGTGATCAAGGACTAACAGTGCAATTCTTTTGCTTCCGCTCAGTATCTACGGCACATGTCCCACAACGAACCAAGATCTTGTCGGTCTCACTATTGTCGAAAACCAAGAGAAGCTGTACAATATGAACTTCAACGAGTGTGCATCCCTGTTGTCGAAGTACAACTGCGTCAGCGATCTCGGCTTTTCCTCCGTCCCAGGAGACAAGTACCTCGGACCGAACGATATTCCCGCCAAGGGCACCAACAGCTTGACCAACGGGGCCGGCACGGTGACCGCACCCGCCAGCGGAACTGTCTTTACGTACACCGACCTGGCCAACAAGTCAGTCTACACCGTGACAGCAGCTAGTGCTGGGAGTGGCGGTAGATCGGGTTCGAAGACGACAGGCGGCTCAGACTCAGGTGCTGGCCCGACGGTTCAATCATCTGCGTCAGGCGGCCAAGCGTCCCAGACAACATCGTCAAAGAACAGTGGTGTGTCTGTAATGGCGCGGAAGGGGCTTGTTGCCTCTGGTCTGGTAGTCTCATTGTTCATGCTCGACATTGCGTAGAAGGCAGTGGATCACCCTTCATCTCTAGGGAGTCATGTTACTCAAACACAAGACCAAAGCTCCTCCGCATGGATAAACACGCGGTAATGGAAGGTTAATTAGGGCATCATATAAGAGACCGCTACTGTCCGAGCTCTTTGTTGAACACAAGAAATGAGATGAGGCGGTTTGATCGTGTCTACTTCGTAGAGAAAATCTACAGATCGGTTGTGATGGTTGCAATAGCACCTCATTCTACTTATGGACTGCCATCACACAGTCTCTCCTCAGCCTTCGCATAACATCATGCTTGCTTTGAAACGGAATCCATATGCATTCGCTAATCCAGTAAGGGTAACTCAGGCCATGTTGATGTGTTATTGAAGCTTATCTCTTGACGGCAGTCACATCGACCATAAGAGGCCCCTTCTCCCAGGCGAAGTATATACGCTGGTCATGCCAGCCTTGGCTTTCAGGTCGGATATGGAGGTCAAATCGCCAGAGTAGACGTGTCATAATAAGGCGCATCTCGGCATACGCAAGGCTACTGATTCATCAGTTCATGTTTCCACAATCGAGAATGACTTCATGAGATTCTTAAATCGGGTATGGAGTCAAGCAAGGAGGATGGGCAGACACCGAACCTAAAGGACATATGTAGCAGCGATGTGGCCACACAGAAGAATTAAAGAGGGCAGTCGTATAGGCACTCACTTCTTGCCGATGCAATTCCTGGGCCCTGTAGAGAACGGATGCAATATATCTCTCCTATCGTCGGCATAGCGTGCATCACCAAGCCATCGTTCTGGGATGAATTTCTCGGGGTCTGTCCAAAACCCAGGGAAATGATAGGCTGTCAAATGGGGAATCGAGACCTTGGACTGGAGTTGCTCGCAAACAGTTAGCATGCAGTATCCTTATCCTCACTCAAACATGAGTTGTGGAATTTCTGCGCTTTCTGCGTGTTGAAACATGGACTCACATTCTCGGGTAGAAAATAACCATCAATGAAACAACCACCTGGGGGCGTGACTCGGGGCAATCCAACTGGCACAGGAGGATCTAGAACAAGCAAATTCGTTAGTCTTGTCAGCGTCATTCGCTGTCAGTGCGGACCAGTAAACGTACACAAGCGGAAGGATTCATCAAACACTGCAAGGAGATACGGCAGATCATTGACAGTTCCAATGTTGATCTCCTCTTCACTTGCGAACCGTTCTCGGATCTCGCCGACCAAGCGGTCGTATTTCTCTCGATTCATGAGTATGTTGTACGTAGTGCCAGCCAGGATCGAGCCTGTAGTATCACTACCAGCGATAATGAGTGTGGTTGCGTTGGTGGCGATCTCGTCCCTCGAGAGCCCTTTCTCGTCGTTGTGTCGCAACACCAGATCCAACAGGTCTTGATGCTCGGGACCTTTAACAATGCCGTCGATTCGGTCTTTGACTATCTGCTCGCCGCGTTGGATATTGTACTCGAAGTCATGCACTATATGTCGGGGTACGAAGAGGTTGAAGAATGGAGCAACCCATGGGTGACGGATGACGATCTGCCCGACGGTTCCGAACTTGATGCTGTTTTGAACCGAAGCGACAGCTGGATCGAAGACTCCCTTTTCGAGACATCCGAAGGACTGTCCAAATGCGAGATCTCCGACCACGTCGTACGTGGCGAAGGTGTACCACAGTGTAATGTCGACAGGCCCTTGACCCATCCTCTCTGCTATTCCCGAGATAAAGTGGTTGACATGGTGATTGAGGATGTCTGATTGTCCGCGTAGTGCTTTTTCTGAGAACGCGTGGGCCATAACCCTGCGCATCCTCTTGTGGCCATCATTATCAGCGTGAATGATGTCTTTCACCGGCGTGGCAGAGGCATCATAGAAGTCTGGATCTTTGAGAAATTGCTGGCTTGTTTCCTTCTTATGGCCATACACCTGCTTCCAGGCCTCAGGGTGGATAGTTGAAATTTCATTTGGAGAGAATCGTACAGTTGAGCCGTATTTCTCATGGAGCTTCTTCAGTTTGTACGGCCAGATTCCAAAAGCAACGTAGCAGAGGTAGATCCAGTCCGTGAGCGCATACAGCTTAGGACCTGGTATCTTCGCCAAAGGGTGCAAGAAGGCGAGGTAGACGCCCCGAACGGTCAGGCATACAATCGTCTACCAGGGAATCGTGGTTGTCAGTTTCAAGCCAGGGCCAAAATAGGTGAGCAGTGATGCGAATTTCAACTGACCGCAAGACCGAGCGCTGCTGCGGTTTCGTATGTTGGAATCATGATCTGATCTGAGTTTGGCGATAGGTTGCGTTCGGAAGAGCTGTTGGGAGCCTTGCGAAATCCAAGAACCACACCCTCGAAGTGTCTAGACCAGCAATCAAGATCCTTATAAAACGTCTATGTTTCAATGCCAGACGTCAAGAATAAGCCAGCGCTACTCTCTGTCCCCACTGCCTTTCAGAAATGGCAAGTTTGTAGTGCGATTTGAGAGCCGGGGAAACGACGGAAAATCCCGGGGGTTGAAGACTTCCTTCTACAGGTGCACTGAGCATTGATATACGTGACCTTCCAGGTGACAGAAGTACATCCCTAGGGTCCAGGAAAAGGTTCCATTGGTAAGTTTCGGATCATACATAATGATAACTGATATGAAACGATCTACGCTAATCTGCCATGTTACCTCGCCAAGATCTATCCTTGACTCACCCCAGGATATTTTCCGTCACTTCCCCGGCCCGGGAAAAGAATGCAAGGCGCTTTCCGCTGCTTCCCCGTGCCGGGGAAAGGATAGAAAATGTCCTGTGATTCTGACTTCCTCTTGCAGATACCCTGACATAGATCTGCAATGCGTAAAAGTGGGAAAAGTTATTTTGTGAGCGAGAGTGTTATCTCCTGAAGTGCTGGAGGAAAGGCCTCCATGGAGTGCTTTTGATCCACTGATACCGTATCTACATGGATCTTGAAGAGGGTCACAGGTGCACGTGACGTGTTCCGACGTTACTTGGATAGCCCGCGGCAGAATACCCCGGGAAGAGAGTTATCAATGCGCTACGCAAGGATTCTGGAATAACGATCACCAATGACTCCTCTAGCAATACTGACCTAGGAGCGAGCCATTAGGTCGAGCGTTTGGGTGCCAAACCCGTACGTGAAATGGAGCGGATGTCGGTGAGAGCTTCCCCCGATTGTCGACAGATCCTGGTGTTCTCCAAAGCATTTGACTGAGAGTCTGACTATGTGAATCCTAAATACGGTGAACTCTGCTTGAGAAGGGCAAAGATAGAGAAAACGCTGGCCGGGGATCTCAGCTATTCTAATGTGCAACCAGAGACCAGTAATTGGACCATCTAACTAGTTTTTGGTCACCGCCAAGTCAGGATCTCATCATCCTCTCTCATTGATCCCTCGGGCATCACCGCTCTTTGGGCCTGTAGTCTATTATAATTGCTTTAATTCTTTCCTCCTTTTCGAATGCTCGTGCACCTCATATATCCCCCGGCGACGGAGCTCGGGCGTAGACTGTCCTTGTAGGCCTTGTTCCAACGGCGGTAAATGCTACCTCGAACAGAACCTCCACTCTCACGATGTATGGCCAAGTGATCAAAGAATTGAATTCGCTGTTTGAATTTCCCCTCTCCTGTTATATTCTTAAGATTCACGTCATTCTTTTCGCTTTTAACAGATGGGCTATATCTTCGCCGCCATAAATCCATCATAACTTATGCCTCATTGTTAACCTGTTGGCTCGGCCACTTCCACACAATATCCAACCCCTTCAAATTAATCAATGGATTTCCCTCCCCATTCCTCGCACATCCAAACGTCTCCTCAAATCCACAGCGGCGATAGAAGTCCTCTGTCCCCGGGACTGTTATCAAAGAAGCTACGACACCCTCCTCGTCTGCACGGTCAACCCCCCAGAGCGTAAGATCCTTCCCAACACCAATTCCTTGGTAGTCTGGATGAACGGCAAGGAAGGAGAGATACCATGACTCTGCGCGCTCCCCGCTCCAAACAGAGTCGAAGAATGGGTATGCCCGTTCAATGATATCTCTGTGAGCCGGCGCTACTGCGCGGTTAGGCCAGAGCAGCTCGTGTAGGGCCATTGCCTTTGACATGAGTGGTTTCATGAGGTTTCCTGTAGTGATTCTTTTTAGTATGCGTGACTGTGTAGCGTACAACAGATCTATCATCTTGCGAAGGGTCCCAGTTTGGAAGTTTTGAGATCTCGACGGATGGAACACCTGTTCCATAGCATGAATTGAGAAGGGAATGAAGAGCAGAAAGGTACAAAAACATACTTGGATCGTAACGTGCCAAATCTCGCTTCTGAGCGCCAGTTCCAAGCCGCTCCCACTGTGCGATACCGATAACCTTCTCCTTGCCAGGGGCATCTGGATCCTGTACAACCGCGGCGAGGAACTTGTAACGACGGTTCCAGAAATTGACCCTCGCGTCACGCAGCCAGTACAAGTCCGAGTCGTTTGGATATCTCCCACGGCCGGGGTGGATCATTTCACCAAATAGCTGGTCGTCCCAGAAGGCGAGCGACATAACCCGTGCCATGGCGGGGAGTTCATGATATTTGATATCGCGTAACTTGTACGCAATCTCTGGTTTTTTGGAGGCATTGGGTGCGGAGGAAGATGGCTGGGAGTCCGTCATGTTGGCGGTTATCATGAGAAAGTTACAAGCAGGCATTGAAGCCAAGGATTTGTGATTTGGGTTGAACGATTGTAAATATACTCCCGTGGAGAGAATTGATATGCTAGTGACAGGATGAATGTAATCAGCTTTTCTTGAGCCGGTGTCCAGACTTTTCGTAAGTCGGATCGACAGCCGGGCGTTGCAACTGCCAACTCCGTCCTGAAACCAAGACCTTCTTTGAAGACCATGCACTGTAGAACGGCATCGTAAGGAACCAGTCGATCTGGAATTCCTCGGTCCAGTGCCGATGTCGTATGCAACTGTTTTGCGTCTTGGCACGGGTGATCTCGCTTAAACACAGATGTATTTGTAACACAGCTACGGAACCGTTAAGGGTGAAAGGGGCCAAAGCATCGATCCATCGAACCCGGGTTACATCTCATCACTTTTCCACAATTAGGAGGCACGACCTACCAACCATAACATAGCAATTGGCGAAGTTTGGGTCATATTGCCTGCAAATGCCAAGAGTCTTGGCAGGAGGACGCCCCGCATGACGGCCCGTCCCTATCAACGGGCCTTGGGATGTACCGCTTTAGTATGTGGAAAAGTGGGCGGAAGTCTGGAGAGTCAATTTCAGGTCGTGAAGGCAACATGATCCTCCCGGGACTTCTTCTGTGTTGCTCGCCGCTCTTCCCCGCTCACGACGGTAGGTACATAGCAAATCCGGGCGATCGTAGTGGCACTAGCCATTCTTTGTTTGACGGGGCAAGAATAATGTATAAGAGCGCGTTACATGGCACCAGTCAAAACCAGTCAGAGATATCCAACTTCTGAACGAGAGGCAGGAACAGAGATAAATTGTGCAGGGGAACGCGTGTACTTTATTGACATTCTCAAATTTAAATTCAACCGCTCAAGATCATCAGGATACTTTGTCAGACCTCACCTCAAACACGTCCGCCCACTCGTTGTTTTGCTGTCAAAGCTCGCCTCATCATCCTACAATGGCTAATTCTTCTGTGCTCCTGCCTGAGCGTCTCCTTCCAGCAATACCTGCTATGCCGTCTTACCTTGCAAGTCGCCTTGTCTGGCTTCTGCTTGTGAGCAGCAGTTTCGCGTGGGTGTATTCAAAAACCCGCCAAAAGTCAGCTAACTTCCCTGTCATCAACCCACCAAAAGGATGGCTGTCTTTATTTACCCAGGACAACATCAAGTACTACCTTGATAATGGATGGGAGGTACAGAGAAGAGGGGCCGCAGAGTATGGTGGCCAACCCTACAATGTTATCACTACAGACGGGGTCGTCACTGTTCTTCCACCCAGCCTCGCGCAGGAGATCCGCAATGAGCCAAACCTGAGCTTCTTGGCAGTAGCGGCAACAAACCTGCAGTCACATCTGAAAGGGTTCGATGTTTATGCTGTGGACACTATTCAGGGGGAATTGATGCTGAAGGTGACGAGGAATAAGCTGCCGAAATTCCTGGGTACGAATGAAAACTTCTCATCTTGCCGTCAGAGCTTCATAAAGTTGAGTAACTTCCGAGGCTAACAAATCTCAGCTCAAATGTGCAAGCCCATAGCCGAAGAGGCGAGTATAGCAGTGAAACTAAGTCTTGGGCAGTCATCAGGTAAGTTCAAAGTTTATCCTCATTCGCTACGACTATATTGACCCTACTTTTCCTCGGCATCCTTACTAATTCCATCTCGATGTCGGCGTAGGGTGGACCCTCGCGCATCCCTACCCGTACATGCTTGATCTAATAGCCCGCATGTCCTCGCGCGTCTTCCTCGGCCCCGAGCTCTGTCGCGACAAAGCATGGCTCAATGTAACCAAGTCCTTCGCGCTGGACAGCTTCCAAGCATCCGACAAACTCCGTCGCTATCCAACCTGGTTTCGCAGCTTTGCTGCTACATGGCTTGTTCCGCAGGCCAAACTTGTTCGTCAACAGGCTATAGATGCCGAGAAGCTAGTAAGGGCTGTGATTGAGAAGCGACGGCAACAACGCGAACAAAACGGGGGGACGGAAAAGGGCGAGGAGAACTCGGTGGACTGGTTTGAAGACGAGGCTGGTGGAAGAGTGTATGATGCCGGCAAGACGCAGCTTCTGCTGTCTGCCGTGGCGATCCAAACTACAACGGACCTGCTCACTGAGGTTATGTTACGGTTGGCTCAGAGACCAGACTTTGTGCAGGAACTGAGAGATGAGGTGGCCAGTGTCTTGCAGGCCGCTGGTGCGTGGAGTAAGCCTGCTTTATTCAACATGAAGCTGCTGGACAGCGCCATCAAGGAGGCGCAGAGGATGCGGCCTGTGTTGTTTGGTAAATGGCCCTGAGACCACCCAATTTCTTATCGGATTGGCCAAGTCCGTTTCGCTGACCTCTGCTCCTCTTCTAGGCGCTATGCCGCGCATTGCCCTTGCGGATGTCGTCATTCCCTGCACTGGCGTCACGATCCCCAAGGGCAGTCGCCTTGCCGTGTCATCGCTCCTACATCACGACCCATCTGTCTACGAGAATCCCCTTGAGTATGACATCCACCGATTCGCTGACCTGCGAGATGATGACAGCAACAGCCATAGCCATCTCGTCTCCACGGGGCCTGCAAGTCTCGGATTTGGCCACGGCAACCATGCCTGTCCGGGCAGATTCTTTGCAGCTAACGAGCTGAAGATTGCATTGTCTTTTTTGCTGGTGAATTATGACTGGAAAATAGACACGGAGAACGTTGATATAAGCCCCGAGAATATTGGTTTCACTGCGAATGTGAATCAGACTGCCAGGGTGAGATTTCGACGAAGGGCGCCAGAGGCGATCGAGATTGACTTGGATAACATTAGATAGTAACCACAGCAGGACTACCTATCACCATACTTAGAGACTCACTGCAATGGTAGTATTTGTGATCACTGATACGCGAAGGCCATTTTAAATGGACGTAATGAATACTGCCCTTAGCAAAGCCTGGTTGAGCCCCCCCTCTCTTCCTTTGCTGGCTATCAGAGTTTCTCCCATTTCCATTCATTGGTCAAGTCTCTAATACTCAGCAGATGCCATCGCAACTGTCATGGGAGTAGACATAGTTCACTGTCAGGATACCATGGGCAGAGTCGTTGCTGCCCGACGTAAAATCAACGGGCACACTGCCGCAGCCATTACAACTGTGGTCCAGGAGCGCCTTGACCAAGGCCTGGGCTTCGGAGCTTACGACCCCGGACTTTGTCAACCGTGGAAAAAAGCACATGCCGGTTCTGAGCTTGCTCGTGGATATTGACTCTCCAGTCAGTGCTCAGCGTGATTAATAGAGTAGACTAAACTAGGGACTTGGGTACAATACTTCCATCAGGCGATATTCTCGTCATTCTGGTACGTTCTTGATGGATCAACGCTGTTGATGTATGAGGCTATCACGGCCAGGTGATCCGAGCAGAGAACAGAGCCAGGGCAATTGATTCCGAGCGCTCCAGCCGGATTCAGTATGGCGACTGAAGCCTCTTCAAAATCAATCCGTACAAGTCAGACCATACAGTGCTCTGACCTGTAAGATCCCCCGGAAACCAATGATGGATAAACGCCATTAGTTACTTGCATGTGCCTGCTAATCCACCGCTGGTTCCGTAAGGGTGTCGGAAATTCCGAACAGGCTCCGAACACTGAGTTTGCCCTCCACACAAGCTCCGTACCCACAGCTTGACGGGACTCAAAGTGGGCTCCCGTCTATCTAGAATATCTATCTAGACACGCCATATATCAGCGAAGACTGAAATCTTGTTTGGAATCGGCCAAGCTCTTCACTCTAGAATCACTTATCATTGCAATTTCGAGAAATTTCATGAGCCATGCGTCCCATCCAAGATGCCCGCTTTTATACCACCACGCCGAAGTACTCCGGCAAGGTGCTCAAGAAGGGTTCAGATGACTACGAGAAATGTCGCCGCATGAACCCGAGTGCCGACACTCCCAATCGGTTCCCCGCCGAGATCCATCTCCCTAACACGCCGCAGGATGTGTCTCAGGCATTGAAAAGAGCACACGAGATCAATGGCTCTGTTGGAGTTCGGTCTTCCGGTCACATCATGAATTTTCCTAGTGCCATCGACGGCGGCATCCTCATTGATACGGTCAATCTTCAGCGAAGCATCGAGTATGATCCCGTCTCCAAGGAGATCTCTTTCGGACCCTCATGTCGTGTGGAGGAGCTCGCAGCCAAGCTAAAGGAAGTCAACCGCTTCTTCCCCCACGGCCACGCCCCGACTGTTGGCTCGGCTGGCTTCATGCTTGCCGGTGGCCAGGGATGGTTTGTACGAGGTTGGGGCGCTACCAGCGTGAGCTGGATCACCAAGATCGAGATGGTCGTGCCTAGCGGTGAGGTTGTCATTGCCAGCCGCACCAAGAATCAGGACCTATTCTGGGCGGCTCGAGGTAGCGGCCTCGCCTTCTTCGCAGTCATTACACGCTTCTGGGGCCGCACAATTGAGCGGTCGACCATGTGGGAGACTATCCTGAAGTTCGACATCAACAGCGATAATTATACGGAACTGATGACCTGGACAATTGAGCGAGGCCGCGACACTCCCCGATACGGCACCGATCTCAATATAACCATCGACTACCCCGAGAAATACGATCCGTCCTACACGACTGATGACATCCCCAAGAGTGGCAAGCTCTGCATGACTCTGAACCTCCTCTGTTACTGCGACACACTGCGTGAGGCTAGAACACTGCTCAGTGCTTACGAGAAACACACACCGGCGACCCGCGACGCGCTCCTGGATCTGCAACCCGTGCAAGAGAGAACCTTCGAGCAGGTCTTCGCCCGCAAACGAGGATTCCTTGGCAACGGCGGACAGGAGAGATGGCAGATCAACAGCATCATGAACGACCCTAACGTCCCGCTATCAAGGGTGAGTGCATACAACCAAACCAAGCCCATGCCAAGCCTACCCATTGCGCACATTGATGCTGACTTGTATTACCACGTAGCTCGTGGAGGCGATCAAGCCTTGCATGCTTGAGCTCCCAACTCGTACCTCGTCAGTTTTCATGTGCCATTGCGACATCGTCCCCAACGAGGAGGAAGCCTGTCTCAGTCTGCCTCAGGACTTGTACATCTCCACCATCACTGGGTGGTCCGACCCGGCTCTCGAGCCAGGTATCTACAGGCCGATGATCGAGCGGTACAGAAGGGCCTTCCCCGTTGCTGTCGGACAGTACATCACCGAGCTGGACGTGAACTCGGAAGACGCCAACGTAAGACGCCCTGCCACCACTCCCCCTACTTTGCTTACGACTTGTTCTAACAAGCTTGCTTTTCACAGTGCCGGGTCCTGAGCGACACCGCCCTGGCCAAGTTCTTGAAGATCCGAGAGAAGTGGGACCCTAAGGGTCTGTTCCCCAACTACAAGAAAATTGTACAAACTCACGAGAAGATGGCGAGATTGGAGAAACAGGGTGCTCGACTATAAGAGCCTGTATCTGATGCCATTGCTCAATGTCCATACTTTTCATGGCTAGTATTACCTTTCTAGAAGTAGTTATCACTTCTAGGACTATTTTAGTCCTACTAGAATACGAGCCATATCGCTCTTTGCCCAGATTGATCCCTATGTTAGGAATCTTATGATTCACAATGATTGCCCTGGTCCCTGACTTCAAGATCTTGTAAGCGAGTGGGCTTTAATCTGACATGCCCTCCCTGTGTTTTGAATCAAAAGGCCGAATGGTGTATGGTGTTGAGGCACAGAGTAATTGTAGGTTCGATGCTCGTCGCTGGATCAGCCTACATAAAGCCATGTTCACCGTCTTGAATCTTTTCTTCGGGTTCTGGAGGATTGGTGCTGGGTGCAGGATAACGGAGCCATGCGGTATGAACTCTACCGATCATTTCATGAAACCCGACGTCACTTGAAGACAAGACAGTGGCAAGCCTTCAACCTAGATAATATCGAGGTGACCGTTTCCGGATTCGTCTAGCCATGAGCCAGGGCAACACCATGGTTGACTGATGTGACGGAACCTAATATGTGTGCATCGGAACGCAGGCCCACAAGTCGCCGTCCGACTCTCGAGTGTGTTACACTTTCCGGTATCATGTCTGCTCCAATTACGGACGGCTCCACGCTGTTTCTGGCTGATGCACTTCAAATATCTGAAGTTTCTAATGCGACTGAGTTTTATTTAAATGTTTTTCAGATAGATCACCGCTGGAGCAACCTCATTACAATCAAGAGACTACCCTGCCTCAGAAGGCTGCCAATGAACAGGCCTCTGCCTCGCCCGGGAACGACCAGAGGTCAAATAGATTATTTATGCCCATATTTGCTAGGTCTTCCCCTCCATTGCCAAAGCCAGGCATATTCGCTAATGAGGGAAAACCACCCAACAAGCGATCTGGACTAAGCAGGTCAAAGTGAAACGATGTCGGCTCATTTGTGCTCAGACCCGACAGCGGTTGTATTGAGCTCGATCCCAAGCCGCTAGTTGACCACGAGACGTCTGGCCACGCTTGTGCTGGCCCAGAAGTGATTGAGGGTCGTCTACTGGTTGATGATGAAGCTTCGGGCAATCGGCTATCGGCCGGTAGGAGATTCAGCCGGATTAGCGGGGCGCGAAGCAGTACCAGCTGCCTCAACAGCCGACGTGATGCACGGAGGCTCCCGCTATATGCACAGGCTAGAGAGTATGCGTCCAAGTAGGTGAGCCGGATGGTATTGAGGCATTCTTCAGGTACGGCGGGACATGCTGCCGTCGTCTCTTCATTTTGCGCCATATATGCGATGACGAGTGAGAGAAGGGCGCAGGATCCGGCCAGGAGGTGCTGGTAGTACGGGTGCTGTTTTCTGTAAACGTCCGAGTTCTTGTCGAGCATGAGAAGCGTGCTGACGGTGTTGGATATAACGTCCAAGGCGGGCTTGATGCTCCGGTCGGCGGTGGGCCGGCGGGTGCTAGAGAAGAAGAAGGGGCGGAGTAGCATTCCTTTGACGGAGTTGGCACGAAGACTGCACAGAACCGCCCATGAGGGGAGGGTGGAGGAAGAGGCATAGCTTTCTTCCTGTAGGAAGACGGCCGAGTATTGGCCCACCACACGACGGCGCCACTGCTCGATTTGGAAGTTGAGCAACTCAAAGGCCTCGTCGTCTTCGTAGGGTTGGCCATGCGTGGCACGCGAGAGCGTTTCGCTGACCTTATCACTGAGTGGGAGAAACGACATCATGGCTTTGAGATATGAAGTTTGCATCTGCATATTAGAGCATGTTAGAAAACGCTCACGTTCGGGTTGGAAAGTATTCAACAGAGGTTCTTACCGAAGTCGGGAAGTCTTGCTTGAACATGCACATTTTGACCAGTGATGGAAGGCCATTCGTGGCGGACCACTGTCGGTCGAGCAAGAGGATGGTGGAGGTGATGGTAGCTGCCAGGCGCTGTTCTCGCTCCGACTGCAGAACGTGCTGGCATACCTCCTTGGTGTGAAGACCGAGTTCCATAAACATGCAGGCTGCGACGCCACACAGACGCCTAGCCATTCTTGGAGAGCCTCTGTAGAAGCTTAGCATGGCCTGCGAGCACACAATTAGACATAGTGCTCAATCGCGTTCTAGTGAGTGGTGCTTATGGTGAGACTTACAGCTGTCAAGACGAGGACGACGTGGGTTAGACTCGTAGCTGGGGATGCCAACCTCGTGGTGACGGCCTGGGCTATATTGTCGTAGATGATTCCGGCTGCCTTCGATTCCATAGGCGTATCCTCAGCGCAGAGAGCAATGCAGATGATGAGGACAATGATGAGGTTGTCGTCCTCGCTGATATGACAACTCCTGTTTGCGGGCTTGCTCACTCCTTCGGAGCCATGCCACCCGCACCGATCTTTGACCTTGCTGACCAGCTCGGTCGTGTCGATGATGGGATGTAGCTCACCGACCACTTCCTGGTAAACGCCCATGAGGCGGACGGCCTCCTGGACTGTCATCCATCGGGGGAGGTCAAGGCAGCCCGGCTGGACTGTCGCAGACGCGCGAGACCGCGACGAGCCGGCGCACGAAGCAGGGAAACGCGTGGCGCCGGGGGAACAGGCCGAGGCCTTGTCATTGACGTCGGTATCTCCGTCGCTGTCTGACTCATCATCGTCGATACTCGCAAGCTTGGGCTTAGGCGGGCCTCTTTGCGGGCAGCTCTGGCTGTAGACCTTGCTACGCGCCATGTGGAAGCTGTAGTCGGGACTCATGGGACCACAAAACTGCATACTCGGCTTCGAGGGTACGACGGCGCTATGGGCGGCAGCACTTGCACTCTGGTCCTGAGCCTTTGATGGCATCAAGGCCGGTTCCACAGGCGGTGGTGGAACTTGACGGGCTGTGGCTGCGCCAAAAGTCGGACCCATCTGGACGCCGCTTTGCTGGATCAGAGCTGTCAAGCTCTCCACCTTGGCTTGGAGTTCCATCATCATGTTGCTCATGCTGTTCATGTCGGCGCTATCTGTCACTGATGCGGCGGGTTGTGCCTTGCGTTGCCGCTGGCTTGCCGCTGCCTCTGCATTGCTCACTATGCCTTGCCAGTCGCTCGGCGTCAAGGAGTACAGGCACTCCTGTCCGCGATTCCGGCAGAACTCGCATGGCCGGCATCCGTCGCATTTGCCCTTGCGCTTCCGACATGTATCGCACGCCCTGGGCGCATAGGCCAGGCGCTTTCTACTTGACTCGACAGCAGATCCGGACGTCGACGGCCGCTTGCTACCCGATACGCGCGTGGACGAGGACGATGCTGATGTTGCCGACGACGTGGATGACCAGGCGGCGGACGAATTGTCGGTGCTCGCCGCGTCGGTACTTCTGGCCCGATCGGTCGAGTTGGAAGTGGTGGTTTCTTCTCGTGCTGGACCGTAGCCACCGGCAGAGCCCGTGATGGTGCCGGAGGGGGGGTTGGCATTGTTTGTGTTGCGGCTACTCTCTTTATTGGTGTTGGCGTCGTCGTGATGGTTCTCGCTGTTCTTGGTGTTGTTGGTTGTATCGTTGCCTGCAGACCGAGTCTCCCAACTCATGGCCCGGATCGTGTTTCCTGATGGGTCAGGCATCATGTGCGGCCATGCGCAAATTGCAATATGGTGGCAAGGAGGGTGTCGGATGCCTGGCGAGAGGACAGGACCAGACAGCTCGACTCTTCTTCCCGACGCGATACAGTGTTTATGGGAGGCAGCAAATGGGGCATGTTAACCATGCAATGAAGGTCCGGGTCAGGCCCTCCTGAAAGTGGCTTTCGCCTACTTGTAGTTAGACCGTATCCAGACGGGCATGGGTGATAAGAGATCTGCATATCTACGTCTAGGCTACTTTGTGCGGGGTAACTATGTAGTTAGTCTCAAAGCCTAGAATCTGTCCCCGGCACTGGCGGAGCAAGACTTCGATGGTTGGTGCTCTGGCGAGTCACCAAAGACGATAACTTCTGGCAAAAGATGTACAGGCTACCTGTGTACGGGTGAGCCATGTTCCTTTCCAGAGCCCAGACGTGTAATGTAATACCAACGTTGTAGGTCAGGCCGACGTCATGGCTTACTCAGGGGTTCCTCGAGCTGCAAGTCAAATAACCATCGGGGCTTGTGCTTGGCACCGATATCACAAAATGTCTGACAGGCTGTAACGCACTCCACACTGCCGCCCGCTTCTCCGCATCTTTATCAGTAGCAGGCATACGACAGTCAGATAGAATGGGGAGTAAATGCTTCGCACAACCAGACGAATCCTATTACGAACCATATCGCCTCGCGATTTTGAACTACTCGGGTGACTAACCTAAAATAGTATGGGAGAGTGCCTGGTGCGACAGTGTTATCTTAGGAATCATTCCGAGGTGCTTCCGCAACATCGTTGCAACCTGACTTGTTTCGTTTTAGGAAAGCAAAATAATCCGTCGGAATGTTCCTAGCTGTCTTGCCCGGCGCATTCGAGAGGCCTTAGGCCATCCCTCGGCCATTGCAACGTGCGAGTATCATATTTGTTTACTGTGCTTTCCGTACCTCAACCCGGGATCTCAATCCGGCCTGCGTTGGTAAAGATCCAGAGCCTGATTGGCCTCTTTGCTTTACCGCAGATCCGCTTGCGGACCACCACAGGTAACCGGCACCTCAGTAAGAAAGACCATGGTGGAATATCCGTAGAATACCACAACGCACATGACCCCTGGATTGCTTGCCAGCCACACTCTGGATAGGATAGTTTGTCCTGTCCATGTAGCTTCCACCATCACTTACCAACACCCCTGACATCTCATATCCACGCCAGGTCACCATAATGGCAACTATAACGATCACGGGTGTGGAGGGTCGCAAGTTCGACGGTAAGTCTGGAAGTCACTCTCATCATTGCGCATCGCCACCTTGGAGATATTGGACCTTTGTGCTGAGTCTCAAACATCACAGTGCCGACGGGCCTTTTCATCAACAATGAATTTGTGCCAGCTAAGAGCGGTGCCACTGTAAGCCTGGAGAACCCGGCCTCGGGTGCAAAACTTGGCGATATTGCGTCCGCGGAGGCTGCAGACGTCGACGAGGCAGTCAAAGCTGCCGAGACAGCCTACAAGACGGTCTGGTCTCAGACTCTCCCGGAACAGCGTCGCAACTTGCTCAACAAGCTAGCTGATCTGATGGAGCGTGACGCCGCCGAGCTAGCTTCTATCGAGGCAGTCGATGCGGGAATCCTGTACCGTGACTCATTTGGCATGGCTGTTCCTCAAGCCGTTGAGACCTGCCGCTACTACGCAGGCTGGGCGGATAAATTGGATGGCGACTCACTTTCGCTGGCCATGGGAATGGCATACACACGCCGCGAACCCTTTGGCGTGTGCGCGGCCATTGTGCCCTGGAATGCTCCCCTCATGATCACCTCGTGGAAGCTTGCGCCAGCTCTTGCAGCCGGAAACTGCTTGATCATCAAGACTCCTGAGATCGCCCCTCTATACGGCCAGAAGCTTGCCATGCTTGTCAAAGAAGCCGGGTTCCCACCCGGTGTTGTGAGCATTCTTTGTGGGTTGGGTAGCGTTGCTGGCCAGCGTCTTGCCGAGCATCCCGACATCCACAAGCTGTCTTTCACTGGAAGCGCGGCCGTGGGACGGGCAATTCTCGCGGCTTCTGCGCGCACCAACCTCAAGAAGGTGACGCTTGAGCTCGGAGGAAAAGGCCCCAGCATCGTCTTTGACGATGCTGACTGGAACAATGCTCTGTTCTGGACGACGGCGGGTATCACCATGAACAACGGTCAGATTTGTGCCGCTGGCAGCCGTATCTACGTGCAAGAGTCCATTTACCAGAAGTTCATTGAGCAATTCTCGGCCATGTCGCGCGACGCTGTTGCTGGTGATCCTCTCCTGAGCACCACTACCAAGGGTCCCCTGGTGAGCCAGAGGCAGAAGGACACCGTTATGAATCTCATCAAGGCTGGAAGGGAGCAAGGCACCAAGATTTTGCACGGTGGTGATGACAGCGAGCTAGATCCCAAGGGCCACTTCGTTCCCAACACAGCATTTGTAGATGTTGGTGCAGACTCGACCATTATGCGTCAAGAGGTCTTTGGTCCTGTGGCCAGCATTGCATCCTTCAAAACAGAGGAAGAAGTAGTCGCTCTGGCGAACGACTCCCACTACGGTCTCGCAGCTGCGGTCTTCTCCAACGACATCAACAAAGCCATCAGGGTCAGCAACGCACTGGAGGTCGGCCAGGTCACTGTGAACATGTGGGGAGTTGTTACAGCAAATACTGCATTTGGAGGGTACAAGGAGAGTGGCATGGGACGAGATCTGGGCAAGGAGGCTCTGGATGGCTGGACTCAGGTGAAGTCAGTCAAGGTACATCTTCTAAAGGCAAATATATAAGATCCAGATCACTGAGTAGATCAATCAATGACAACGGGTCCGATTTTGGTGATATCAACTGCTGCACCTGGGAACCCACTGCTTCACTCCACGGGATACATCAAGGCACATATCCAAGCGCATCACATGCTCGATTGAAAAACTTGTCAACTGTTGAACATTGTCTGGCCAGCTGAGCAACGTGAGAGCTAACATCTCGAATCCCCCCAAGCACAAAGAGTGTCCATTATTTCACTCCCATTGACTCAACTCCGCGTAAAATCTCCTGCTGTTTGCAGCAGTCACTCTCATACCGCGACGCATTATCCTTCTTAGAGGGCACATCAATGGATGGGTTCTCGGTAAAGAAGTCCTGCGGTATCATGTGGACTGACATCATCTCCACGGGCCTATAAATAGTTCCAATGTCAGTATGGATACATTATGAGTTCATTAGATGGATAGAGTCAGAAGCAACCCACATCACAGGCCAATCTTCAACGCGTGGGTTATGTGTCAGGCCGAACACGCTCCAGAGAACAATGTCCTCGTCTTTGGTGTTGTCCTTCCTTGCTGCAGCGTCAAACAAGCCGCCGACTTCATGCCGGCTCTGGAATGTATATCTGCCGGCGGCATAGTGCTCATCATCCTTGTGTTTCGTGACCCAGAGCCCGTGCTTGGCAAATCGTGCACGGTTATACTGGATGCTGTGTTCGTCTGCCAACAGCATCTGTGTTGCGGGAGTCACAACTTTGTATCCGATGTAGTTACCGCTGATGGGATTGCGCTTGGAGTGGTTCTGCACTTTGAACACGCGGTTGGTGAAGGGATTCAGATCCAATCCGGTAGAGGTGGAGATGATTGTCTTCCGGACTTCATACGCGTTGCCGTAAGGATTTGTGTCCTTGTCGCGACGAAGCGGTAAGCTCTCCTCCTGAACGAGGGTATTCTTGTGGCCGTCCACCGCAGGGTCGATGCGGAGGCAGAAGATATGCTGGTGGTTCTGAGCCAAAGCGCCGGGGCTGACAATAGTGCCCCAGGGTACCTTCTTGCCGGCGTCAATATTAACCACGGAGACGATTCCAGTAGCCCGAGCTTCCATGGTAATACCGGCTGCTTGATCAAACTTAAAGGCGAAGATGTACTCATAGTTGGCGAGGGTGATGATAAACTGAAATACAAGCTCGCGCCGGCGTGCTACTACAGCGCGGTTCGTGCGCCAATTCGTATGTTTCCAATTAATACCGTTATCCTGCTCGTGTAGGCAGATGACATTCTTGGTCACCACCGCAGAGCCATCAGCGTCCGTCAATACGCCGTCAAAGTATTTGATGACGCCGAGGCAGTCACAACCAAGCTCTAGGTTGTTCACGGTATTGCCAAGCGAGCCATCCCCGAAGTCGAAAGCCTGCTTGCGCTGGAAAGGATACCTGGGATCCGCATACGGCACCGTCATCTCGCTCATACTTAGACGATAACACACGCTTCTGCCGTCGTAGCGGATGTCGTGCAGAACTGCACCTTCGCGAGGGTTGAATGTGAGCCGCATTCGCCACTTCTGCCACTCGACGACGTTCCCCTGCGAGATCGTAAAGCTGGCGCCCTCAGGTTGATGGACCTCGAGGGGTTTCAAGTCCTTGCGCAAACCGTTGGCAAGCAGCTCTGGTACATACTCGCCAGGTAGGCAGTGGTCGATGGGCTGCTCTGCGGTGCCCTGACTGGTGTACGGATCATTCACCCCGCCCGTAGCAGGCTCATCAACACGGATGATCTCCCCAGTCCTGGCGTCCATGATCGGAATGAGGGGGATAGGGTACGGGTAGAAATTGGAGTCTGCATTGCCGCTGCGCTTGTCCCGACCGAAGCATAGTCCTTGGAACAGCCTGGTGTGGCCATCTGCATCATCAGGGCCGCCATAGGGCCATGGCTCGACCACCAGTTCGAATCCCTCAGGCAATTTGATCTTTTTCATCTTTTCTTGGAAGAGGGGCGATTTGTTCACAGCCTGAACAAGCTTTTCGAACTCGAAACTGTTGGCCATGGCATTAGCAAGGATGTTCTGTGTAGGTTGTGCGAGCTGGAGATTAAGGACCGTGACTCACATAGTCAGCCCAGGCTGATGTTTCGTGGCAACAATCTCGTGCTTGATGCGCTTGGAAGTTCTCAGATCGATGTCAGACTCATGATATGCCGGGGCTTTGCCAGGCTCGAGGACATCGTAGCGCACGTGAGCCATTCGTGCCGGCCACGGTGTGCTGGAAGTGACCTTTCCTGCATGTTCGAGCTCCAGGAAGTCCACCACTTCGGACTTTGGGGGCTCCAGCAGGAAGATCTGTCGAAAATCAAGTACGCAGCCATTATGAAGACTTCGCACTACATCGCGAGCCTGATTCGTCTCGTCGAGGCTCAAGGCAGACAAAGGATGAGGATGAGTATCCATGACGGTATATTGAAGCTTGCTGATCGTATGTAGACTTTCCAGATTTCGTGGATGAAGCTGGCTGGCATCATTTGGTTGCGCGTTTGGGCGAGCAGTTAACGATTTGGAACAGCACGAAAGTGTCCCCTAAGCGCGATAAGGGACCCACCAGAGCTGGAGCGGGTCATACTAAACTGGACAAGCCTTGAGCTTTCGGAACTCGACGGCGGAATTTCCTTGGCTCATGCCCACTTAGCTCTCGATCCGTGGGGTGTTCAACGACCTACTTTGTAGTCGATATTCGTCGGAACCTATCACCCGGACAGCCAATCAAAAGCCGACTCCTATGCGTAGATCTTATAATAACCAGAAAACGACTTTAAATTACGCTCTTTTTTGCGGTTGTTTTGCTAGCGCATCGCCATCTAAATTTGCTGGTGCAGGGGCCATTTCCTTAACAGCCTGTTTAGAATCCTCTCGCTAAGCACCAAAAGAACCCTGTACACTAACATTGCAAGGTACATGGCTGTTAGTACACAACCCAGTATGCCGAGAAGGCTCTGAGCGCAGCGAAGGGCCTCTGAGGCGGAGACCCTGGAGCCCGAGAGGAACGAGGGCGGAACGGGTCCCATTTTACGAATGCGAGCCTTGCGAGCAGTGAGGGCTACTACAACCCCATTCCCTAAAGCCTGCGTTGCAGGCAGTCCCCTAGTTTAGAGAGACTGTGTGTGTCGCTACCACCACACACACACACACACTCGATCTAAGATACGTTTACCACACTCCATTGCCTTCGCTTGCGAGTACAGCGTCGGAGTGGAGAGAGAGGTTAAGGTTCAGAGGTTCAGCGGTTTGGGAGTGAGAGCCCTCCTGGAAATAACAAGATGGGGGGGACACACGTGTGTACATGTGTGAATATTTACGAGATCTAGATATATAGCGCACGTAGATGATAAGGGTACCACGAATACTGGTGTGGCGAATTCATTACCCCTCTCCAAAGATCCAGAGCGTAAAGTAGACTAAGAAGGTGTCAGATAAGCAGTGTCCAATCAATTGCGTTAAAATGTGGTCCTCCTTAGCTACACAAAACAACGCCCTAGGACTACTTTAAAATTAACAGAATAGATCCGTACAGTACAATTGGAGCTTTACTGGAGTTGTGTTTAAAACCTTCAATCGTTCAAACAGAGTCGAAAGCCCCGTTTTGGAAAATCGCTGGCCAGGAGAAAAGCAAGAATTGATAGCTACCTTGATAGAGTAGGAAGAATAAGAGCTTGCTAACCTGGCTGCCCGTATGATGGCTATGACCAAGCAGGTCAAAGTAGGGTTGTGATATCGCGCTAACGAGTTGAGGGAGAGTCGTTTTAATGTGACCAGTCACTACTACCATCCTCATATAGCTTATCGCCTTAGTTGAAGTTCTCAGTGTAAGTAGGCAAGCATGGTATGACTACATTAAATCGCCTAACTTAAGATGCCCACGTCTCAGCTTGCCAAATCAAGTGCGGCTTGCCCGAGTCAACACCTCAGACATATGTGCTAAGCCAGCCAAGGTGAACGTTGTGCGCAGGCGTCCGGCACTCCTTGAAAATTCGATAATGGGGCCAAGGGACATAGCTTTAGTGATTTTGAACTAATAACCACGGGGGAAACCTCTTAATCACGGAGTTGCCAGGCGAAAGCATCTTAGGCCAACGTTCCGACACCACTTTGCCTCAATGAACTCAGAAGCCACGTACTCGCGTCGCACGCAAGATAGCTTCGCTGATAGCAGCATAGTATAGAGGATCCCTGAGCTTGGGATATGCCCACAACGAGGGTTTCGCCGATCTACCATAGCCGAGCAATAACCTACATAGTGTCGTTTCGGTGCAGAAAACCTTCCTGGCCCGATTTACCGTGGTGTCGGTGGTTCGTCGTAGATAAGCTTCCTAGTGACCTGTGTGCGCAACGGAACAACTGGGCTAAAGATTCGGAATCCTCCTGGGCAGTTCCGAGGTCTTATCAATAAACCAATAGCCCGAGTTTGATCTGCCTTATCTTGGAGCGCAGCGGGTAATGCACTGACTCTCCGCACGATGTACTGATCGGCAAGATGCATCGACTGCCAATCTCAAGCCGATAGAGAGCCAATGCTCGTGACTTAAGATCAGGCTGTGATCTGCCCCCAAGACAAAACTGGACTTGTTAACTATTCTCAAGATACTTCAAACAAGACCATTTCCAACTCTACCAACATTTCGTCAATACCCAGTAAGTTTGCCATCGGAAGTTTACTCGAAGCATAACATCACTAACAGAGCACAAGTGAGTTCCGATACCCCGTTCACGGTGACGAAAGATGGGGTGATGGCCCCAGTTGTCCCGGTCAAGACAACGACCAGCATAGAGGCCGGGGTTGTCGGGGTGAGTGACAGATCTGGTCAGCATCGAGGCCAGTGCGTCGAGAAGTGCTGACCATAGACCCTTGGGCAGCCCGACCATGGAGAGACTCGCAAGTCCTTCTCAACCTTGTCGACGATGGCTCTCGCCGTGACTCTGTTGGCAACATGGGAAGGTCTCTGTGCTTCCATGGCGGCGGGCGCCACGAGCGGCGGACCAGTGGCTCTGGTTTATGGGTTCATCGGTGAGCACGAAGCCTCATTATCCGACAGTCTAGATCTGAGGCTAATAAATTATCACAAAAGTTGTGTTCATTGGGACCCTCGCTACCATGACCTCCTTGTCCGAACCGGCCTCTCGGTAAGTGAACAACAGTCACTCCAGCACTCGCCCTGCTCACCTCGGCGATGTCGCTGACGGAAACTCGCACATACAGCTATCCGTACGCAGGGGGCCAATACCATATCATGGGCGAGTTGACCTCGCCGAAGTGGAGAGCTACCACGAGTTGGTACTGTGGCTGGGCATCCATCCTTGGCTGGCTCTCTTTCGCAGGAAGCTGTCCCTTTTTCGCCGCCAACATGGCCCAGGGCATCGCCATCATCAATTACCCGGACTACGAGCCTCAGAGGTGGCACGGCACCCTTATCTACTGGCTGGTTCTCCTCGGCGCTTTCGCCATCAACCGATGGGGTGCCAAGATACTTCCTGCCATTGAGGTTGTCTCGATGGCCCTCCACGTCATCATGTTCTTCCTCATTTTGATTCCGACGGTGGTGGTCACGCCGGATCGACATTCAGCTGAATACGTCTTCACCACATTCCTCAACTTCTCGGGCTGGGACAATGACGGGATAGCCTGGTGCATTGGCTTGCTAACGTCTTCATATGTCATGGTCGGCGCCGATTCTGTCATGCACATGTCCGAGGAGATGAAAGAACCAAGAAAGGGTATCCCCCGTGCCATGATCGGCTCACTCCTCATCAATGGTCCTATGGGTTTCGCCATGCTTATCGCCCTGCTCTTCTCGATGGGTGACCTCGCAGACGCCGTCAACTCGTCCACCGGATTCCCTATTATCGAGATCTTTCTCCACGTAACCCGCGGAAACGTCGCCGCCGCCTCCGCCATGACCGCCTCGATCGTCATCTCGGCCACTCTCGCCACAGTTGCCCTCATGGCATCAGCCTCGAGAACCCTCTGGGCTTGCGCTCGAGACGATCTTCCCCCTTTCTCCGGCTGGCTGTCTCATCTTCACCCCACGCACCACATCCCTACCAACTCTATGTACTGCACACTAGGCGTCTTGGTCATTTTGGGCCTTCTGCAGATCGCCTCCACTGCAGCCTTCAACGCATACACCTCCTTGGCCGTCGTCTCCCTGTACCTATCATACCTCATGCCTATCCTGGGAATGTTGTACTGCCGCATCTTCAATCCTAGCCTCCTCGAGTTTGGGCCCTGGAGACTCGGCCCCCACATGGGCATGGCAATTAATATTGCCGCTGTCTGCTACCTGATCATCGCATGCCTCTTCATTATGCTCCCTCCCACACGCCCTGTCACCGCTCTGAACATGAACTACGCACCGGTCATCCTGGGAGCATCCATCATATTTGTTACAGTCTACTGGTTCTTCAAGAAGGACAAGTTTTCAGCTAGGAGTGAAGCCGCAAGGCACGAAGCTGAGGCTCGAGCTCCTCAGTAATCACGCCGGTCAGAAGAGTAAGCTCAAAATCTGCTGCGTTCGAGTCTTATTTCGTATAAGAAAGTTCTTCCCTTTGCAAAGTTCTATCTACTTTACCGAATTCATTCATGCCTAGTCTCATTCTTCTCACAAGCCCCGCCAGTGAAATGTCTCCTCCTTAGTAACCTCGCAAGTTTTGGTCTCGCTTCTAGAGCCCGCACTCACCGTTATGAGGTACTTGCCCTTTTCCTCGCACCAGTTGTTCTCAATCTCATCCCAGAAAGAGAAAGCGTAAGCATCCAGCGTAATTGGAACGTCCTTTTCCTCCCCAGGCTGGAGGAATACCTTTCCAAAACCGTGAAGCTCACGCATGGGGCGATGCGCGGCGCTTGACTCGGGCCCTGATACATATAACTGCAGAATCTCAGCCCCACCGAAGTCGCCCGTGTTCTTGACTTTGACGGTCACGGTATGAGTGTGAGGGTGAGGCTCGTAGCATCGCCTGGCAGTCGAGTGGTAGTCGGGCTTGATGGTGGGCTCGGAGAAACTGAAGGTGGTGTAGGATAAGCCGTAACCGAATTCCCAAAGGGGCTTATTGCGCATCTTGTCGTACCAGCGGTAGCCCACGTAGATATCCTCACCAAACAGTAGACGACCTCGGGAGGATCCGACATGGAGGTAGGCCGGGTTGTCCTCGATCCTCTCGGGCCACGAGATGGGCATCTTGCCAGACGGGTTGTGGTCACCGAAGAGCACATCGGCGATGGAGCTGCCCGATTCGTTGCCGCCGTACCAGGCCTGGAAGATACCCGGAACTTGCTTCACCCAAGGCATATGCACTGGCATGCCTGAGCGGTTCACCACGATGGTCTTCGGGCACACTGCTGCGATTTCGGCGATCATCTTGTCCACGTTGGGGGGCAGGTCCATGTGCGTCCTGTCCAAGCACTCGCCTTCCCACTCGCCGCCGAGTCCTGTGCAGATAACAGCGTAGTCTGCGTCCTTGACGGCCTCGACTGCCTGCTGTCGGGCCTCCTCGGGAGTAAAGTCCAGACAAGCGCCCACGCGGAAGCCACCACCGCCAAAGGTGAATGCGGCACTGGGCAGTTTCGACGTGGGAGCACTGCCAAACTCGACTCTGACCTTGTAGATGCGACCTGCCTCGAGTTTCTTCAAGCAGTATTCCTCCTGAGTTCCCATGTTGAAGAATGAGTGCCCGGGTTTCTGGATCTCGCTATTATTAATGATCAGCTCCTCGTCCAGGTAGAGATCGGCCGTGCCGCTGACGCAGAGGCCGAACTTCCAGGTGCCGGTCGTGTCTGGCTTGAATTCGGTCTCGACGGTGCCATAGAAAGTGTCTGACTTGATCTTAGGGTTCAAGTAGTCCATAAAGGTGAAGTAGGACTTTCTCATGTTTATGAGGCCGACCGATTCACGATTCCTGGTCCCGTACGGCTCGTTGAAGAGATTGAAAGTAATGTTGCTGGCAGTCTTTCTGCTGTCGAGGACCGGCAGAAGTCTATGTGTTGTGGCGCCGATGGCGTACCTGACCTCCACGTGAGGCCCAACCCTCTCCTTGATCGAATCAAAGGGGTGACGGGTGTAATACGTCTCCAAGCCGGTGGATCCTGTGGCGGCAACATCGGCATCCTTCATATGGGAGCCGATGAGGGCAATCTTCTTGATGGTGGAGGGGATAGGCAGAATGTTGCCGTCGTTTTTAAGCATGACAATAGGGTTGCAAGCGAGTTTTCGGTTCAGTGCTCGGTCTTCCGGGCAATCGATCTCAGCCTCAGTCTCCGACACCTTGACGCGGCTACACTCTTCCACGAACTTGAGCACACGAAGGGCTCTCTTGTCTAATGTGGACATCTTGACAAGCCCGGATGCCACTGCCGTCGCCAACGCCTGTCCACGAACAACGCTCGGACCTGGCATCTCCAGATCTAAGCCGTTGTTGACTGCCTTTGCCGTCGTGTAGAGACCAAGCCAGTCACACATAATTAGAGGATCTTGACCCCACTCCCCTCGAACCAGTTCATCAAGGAAGAATTTGCTCTCAGAGCAGTGCTCTCCATTGACCTTGTTGTAGGATGACATGAGAGCCCGAGGCGAGGCGTCCCGGGCGACCAACTGGAAGGGACGCAGGTGAATCTCGCGCAAAGCGCGGTCTGTTACGATGACGTTGATCGAGATCTTATCCTCCTCTTGCTCGTTACACACGAAGTGTTTGATTGTGGAAATGATACCGTGAGATTGGCAACCCTTGACGATCTCACTAGAGAGGGCACCGGTGAGATAGGGGTCTTCGGACCAGGATTCGCCGCCACGGCCTCCCAGGGGGCCTCGCTGAATGTTGATGGTTGGTCCCAGCCAGACGTTGGCACCCTTTGCAATGGCTTCCCTGCCAATCAGTGTGCCAGCTTCGTACACCAGGCTCCTATCCCACGTGGATGCCAGACCGGTGCCGCATGGGAGCAGAGCTCCTCGAGCACCCTCACACCATTGTGAGTCCTTGTGGGTTCGTCCCCCCCCCCCCCCCCCCCCGGCCAGGTGGGTGGAGCCGACGGCTTTCGGGATATTACCACTTTCACATGGGCTGAGTGTGGATAATCTTGATGTTCACTTCATCACCATTCTTACAACGGTTATGGTCATTAGGTAACGAGCACAGGCTTACAGAGATGAGATGTTGATGGGCATGCTGTCAGAGTATTCAGTGATTGTGGGATGTAGAGGGTAAATTTCGTCCATCCAGATACCAGGGGTCTACTTAGTACGTTCACTGTTAGTGGATTTGGTGGGGTAGTAAACCAGGATGGTCTTGACAGCGACTGTGGCTTGACTTGCATCGCAGACCTTACCAAAGGCTGCTACATCGGTTCGAAGACAAAGAAGACCTCAGAGGCTTTATGGTCAGTCACTCTAATGCCATGTCGTCACGGATATGAAGAACATAGCGTGATTGTGATCAGAACAAGACCAGACCCGGATGATTCAACCGCATCAGCAGACGCCAGTCTATCCCCTCCCCAGCATTCTGCCGTCGCCAGATATCCTGCAGTAGCGTGTGGGCCGTGGCGACATGGCCAAACCCCACCGTCTTCTCCATGACGTTTAATCTGTACTCAACCATAAGCCGATTCGTTTTCGTCCAGCTGCTGAGGCCGGCCATGAAGAGTGGGAACAGCATGCGGGCCTCCATCTGAGAGCCCGGGCGAACGAAGGACAGGGCAGAGAGAATATTGTCTACGGCCGTGGCGGCCCTGGGGTCTGGTTCATGGCCTGGAGGAACAGACCACGGGGCCTCATTTAGGAGCAGGAGCGTAGCCCATTGGGTAGCCAGTCCGACAGCCTCGGCTTCGTATGCGAGGTGTCTGTATGGGTGATACTCCTCGTCCGATGGGGACGCTGGCGAGGACCAGCCCCGTAGTGCCAAGTCGAGATCTTCGTGCGAGAGCCAGCCGCTGTCAGCCTGAGGCTCGCCTTCAACGCCTCCAGGGACCACTGGCGGAGACGACCCTGTCAGATTACCACATCTCTGCTGCAGTGAGACGTGCGTGATCATGGGGAGCAGCTGGTACAGAGGCGCAGCCATCCCAAGTAGCGGATGAAGGACGGCTGGTGCCAAGACGGGCATCGTCCACTCAAGCGGGTGGGCGAGCACTGTCTTGTCGCTCGTGACACATGCGATATGGCGGAGGTAGGAGTACAGCTGGACAATAAACTCACTCGCGGGGTCAGGGAAGGCTAGAGTGTCGCCCACACGGTCTAGAATGACTCGGCAGCCGTCAAGGCAGGCGTGCCACGCTCTCGAAGTGCCGTGACAAATCTCAGCTAGTGTCAAGAGCAGCATGGCGAGCAGGTGCGTCACCTGGAAGCCTTCATTTCCATCTGCGCACTCCCGCATGTGCTGGAGCAGGGCGGCCCGGTGCGTGCGGTGATCATGGCGGAACTGGGGATAGACGATGCCGAGATGACATGCAGCGAGGGCCAGGAGCCCTCGCTTGACAACGTCGCTCTCGAGCGCTTTGGGCACGACGAGCACCAAAAATGGGTTGTCGTCATCGTGGACGACGACGAGCGAACGCGAGACTGCCAGGATAAAGTGGTTGAGCAGATGGCGGTGGGCGATGGCCCAGGATGCCAGGTCCTGCTGGCCGACGCCGCAAAGCTTGCCCATAGCCGATGGGAGGATGAAGGTCACGTATCGGTCCCCTTCCTCGGGGACCGGAATGACAGCATCGTCGACCAGAGCGCTGCTAAAGGCGAGGGCTGAGGCGTGTGAGTTAGCATGAGCCAGCGACTCACGCTGGATTAAGGTGATCCAGTCCGGGGGTTCTCCGGCCGCCGATGTGCTTGGCGGGGTCCTTGTTGGAACCCCGGGAGATGAAACCTGGTCAATTGAGCTTGGGCTCTGATCGGCGTCCAACACTTTTGCCGTCGGACTGCGCGGCATGCACCGGCGGCCAAGTCGCGGACAGTCGCCGCACGTAGGCTGCTGCTCGTCACACTTTTTATGCCTCGCGTGGCATGCCTTGCAGCCAAGCCGAGACCGCTGGATAGCGGCCGGCCCAGAGGGCAAAGTGGGCAATGCGGCGGTGTTGGACGGCTTTCGCCGGGTCGTGGGAAGATTGGAGCGGTTGGAATTGATACCATCGTAAATGCAAGTCAGACACAGGCGTGTGCACCGAGCGCAAGGGCGACCCCGGTCACACGCGCTCTTGATCGACGCGCATAAGCGGCAGGCCGTCTTGCGGCGGCCCATATTGCGGAATCAAAGTGGAGAGTGGGAACGGGAAAGAATAATGCACCGCAAAAGTCGGTACCCGGAAGCGATTGTCTGGAGTCGAGGGGGTGGTAGATAGGATCAAAGTGATGATGATTGAGGAAACGAGGCAAGGGCCCGGCTTATGTTTTTTGCCGGCGGTTAGCATGGAGAAGCGTCTAAAATGGGTCAAAGTCTGGACCAGACCCCCGGGGACCAATCAGGTACGCACCTCTAGTGAATTGGAAGCTTTCCATCGTCTTTTGCCGTCGATTCGACGGGACATCTTCCACCTAGCTTCCAGGCCGGCGAGTCTCACGAGTGCTCATTTCATGTACCCACATGCCATCTGCCTCAGATCTTCGTCCATGTTGCCGTTGGGTTCGAGTGAGGGGCGATGTCCACCGGAGTCAGTTCCGATTCTTACTCTTCGCACGAATGGGACAGACAAGCGTGGAATTGGCTCCGATGGGTCCAGATGTCACATTGTATGGATTGTATTACCATGGCACACGACTGGTCGAAGAACCATCGCCGGTTGGGACCGACAGTCTCCAGTGTCCCGGTGCCGGAAGCAAACCCCACCCCCATCCCAGCACCACTCTCGCGATCCCCAAGATAGAGCACTAGGTGTATGTGGGGAGAATCGCACATTTCTTATCAAGGCAGGTATCCCGACGGGAAATGCCCCTCCCATCTTGAACGTGCTTATCAACAACCCCTTCTCCAAGGAATTGGCGTTTTCCGAGGGGTTCAACCCCCTATCGAGCGGGTAGCGCACATCAAGCACCGGCAGAAGAACAATCTTTCCCGCCTCCACGGACCTTCCTGAGATCGTGGCACCGGCATTCCGTCACGTTCCTAAATCTACTCAGAGTCCAGATAATCGCTCGTGTTATCTTACCAGGGGCAGTGAAAACCGAACACACTTCTGACGGCCCCCCCATCATAGAGTATTAGGATTCGTCAACCTCATCTCTCGCACACGGCATCAATCAGCCGTATGACATCTTGTTCTACAATACAACTGCCGCCCAAACAGCCAGCACTCCCAGAACTTATACAACATGGCATCGAAGGAACCTCAAGATGACTCATTCGTCACCTACGACTTGAAGGTGGAGGTCATCTGCCCTCCAGGCAAGAAGATTCTCTGCAATGCCAAGAACGGCGACTACTTCATTCTCAAAGACGAGATGCTGTACTTGCCTCCCGACCAAGGCATGAGCATCTACAATATCTGTACGAGACCAAAACCACTACGGGGGACAGTCTGCCATGCCTAACAAAGATTTCTTGAAACAGCTGCCGCTCTGCCCCTGCTGCAAGCCAAGCAAAGAAAGACCCACCCTAACGACTGGATGTCCACCGATGACATGGTCGCCTGCCCTGATCCGTACTGTCCGTCGCGGTTGAAGATCACGCGTTGTGGTGAATCTGTTTGGAGACATTCAGATGTCTCGGGCTTCCCTCCCATGCAGCAGCAGGAGAAGAAATGAAATCCAGAGACTCATAGGGACTTGAGGAAGGGACCGTGTTCAATACTTGGGTTATAAAGTGAGGCGGGAGATATCAATGAGAGAACATGGCAGGTATCATGATAGTCTTGTCTTCCCAGTTCACTCTATAACCTTGGCATCTTTCTCTTCTGATATCACCATAGCCCTTTTCTGGCACGTTCCAATATCTGCCATTATATCCATGGCGCATAAGCTGGCAGAATGATCACTTTGTGATGTCATTGTATGGAGTTCAAGATAAGGTCGCCTACTCATATTCAGAGTGACAGGTCCACGGCAGACATAGTCAAGATGCAAAATCCATGATAGCTTAGTCCGCCGTAACTATCTGATGCATCCATCTGTTCTGTGATGTCTATTCCAAATTTTAGGTCTGTCTTTCCTGTTTGATGTCACTCTTCAAATGAATCGCTTCATCTAATCCTAAAGGTGTTGTCACAAAACAGGAGGTGCGAGTGTTGCACAATACATAATACCCTACAATTTATAGCTCATTGTATCTGAGTATAATAACAGGCATCGATAGATCAGAGCCCATGCGCCCTCTTGCATGTACCCTGAGTTGCCAAACTATCATCTCCCTGGCTTCTTATCCAAGAAGCTGTTGCCAATCCGAGCGGTACTCGTAACCGCAGTCACCAATCTCCTCAAACATCTCCTTCCGCCGACTCTTACTCAACACAGCTTCAATATTGGCCTGATCCTCGTCATCAAGTCTCCAGCCAAAGACGGCCAAGTTGTCCTTGACGCGCTCGCTGACACCCATGCGGGAACCAATAATCGTGCCACCCACAAAAGGGTGGTCGAGGACCCATCGATTCGCCACGTTGGTGACAGACACACTGCGCTTAACGGAAATCGCCTTGAGGCACTGCAGGAGCTCTTGGAATAGGTCCCAGCCACCCCAGATCTGGATCATGGTGTAGTACTATTTGTATCGCGCTCAGTAAGCTATCACCAAACAACATAGTAGTGGAAGATGTGAAAGGGGGTAAGTGCTCACTAGCCGGGTACTTGGGTTCATGTCCTGTCCATAGAAGTCCGGGTCTGGCTTCCCCAGCCATCTTTCAGAAAGGAAGCCACCACACTGCGACGAAATAATTAGTATTAGTTGCCAAAGACAGACAGTCGGAAGGGGATCATGTGTTCGTTCTCACCAAGGTTCCAAAGGTCAACACCTTGACTCCATGCTCCTCACAGAATTTGCCAAGTTTGACTGTTGGTCGAGAATCCACCAGCGAGAATTGAGATTGATTCGTCACGAATCTGATACCGGCATCCCACGCTTCTTGCAGGTGAGCCGTGTCAAAGTTGCAAAGTCCCAAGTTAGACACGCGTTCGTCCTCCTGGCAGTACTTCAGAAGCTCAATGTACCCTGGCTCTTCCCACTATATTGCGAAAAAGCATTTAGGAGCAAATTCTTATCTTTTTGCCCAAGGGTCGCTTTCACTCACAATCTGCCAATGGACCTGGAGCAGGTCAATCTTGTCCTTCTCCATCCGTCCAACTCTTTGAGTGATGTTCTGTCGCACAGCCTCTCTTGTCACGTCCAGTGAGGTGAACACGCAGTATTTAGTGGATGCAAATGTCTGGCCAGGGTCACTCAATGACTTGCAGAATTGTCCCTAGGGGAGTTTGTAAGGTTAGCCCGGGACGTGATGCAACATCTCTTGGAGTAGAGGAGCTCTTACATAGACGACTTCGGCATCACCGTAATGGTCCGCCATGTCAAATGCGGTCAGTCCAGCCTCGACATGATGAGAAAACTGCGCCGCGATTTTGAGAGCCGAAGCAGTGCCAAAAGCGGTGCTGGACAGCTGCCACAGACCAGAAAACATCCGTGGGACCTCTCTATCGCCAATCTTGAAGGTCTCGACCTTTGTCACGGCTGAAGATCCAGAAGTATTGGTGGAAACGGTTGTCAAGCCCTTGATCTCTACAGGTCTTGTCGGGTCGATGGTCTTCTGTGTAGAAGCCAGTCCTCGCACAAAGGGGGGCTCCCGCCCAGCCTTTTCCCATGCGGCCCCGTGAGCGGCCAGCGCGTTCACCAGACTCTCCATAGCCTCGGCCTCGTCAGCTGCCCAGGCGCGCAGTCCGGTCTTGTCCTGCTGGATGCGTTGGATGCCGACCATGGCCTCAATAATATCACCATCAACGAGGATGAGGAAATTGATGATATCGGTCGCATCTCCTGAGAGATGGATGTACGTCGCCTGCTCAGCAATCTCCTGGAAGATGGCTAGGGTCTCAAAGTACATGCCTGCGCCAAACATGGTCCGGATGCGGTCGCGGACATTTTTGGCCTCTCCCTCTTCAAGTCCTGCCCCAAAGAGCGGCTCGGTGTGCGGTGGGGCATTCTTGGTGATGTACTTGCGCGTGTGACCCTCGAAGGCATACGTGAAGTTTGTGTCAGCGTTCAGGACTTCGCGCAGGACTTTTCGAAGGCCTGCGGCAGGAATGTGCTCGAGGATCAGATCAGGGAGTCCTTCAATCAAGGAGGTCCTCGGATCGGTTCGAGGTGAGGTGACCATGGTTGCCGTGACAGACTTGGGGCTCGGGTCACGCTCAAGGTGGTTGGGAGCAAGGATTTGTGCGTGGGTGGGCTGAAGAGCGAAAGGGACGTCGCAGTTTGTAGGCACGGATATAGTGGTATCGTCACTCACTCGTAGGAAGCATCAAGGATCTCTTAAAGAAGCCAACCCTGGCAGGGTGATGTAACCCCAACGCCACAGCACACGTCCTTAGTACAGGCTTGCGTTATCAGTACGGAGTAATTCCGGACACCCGGGAGCCGATAATCTTTCCGGGTAAGGTTCCACATTTACGCCGGAAGCTTCCTCCTCCTGGCCTTTCTAACAGACTCGCGATCGACACCGAGCAAGAGTTGGTTGGTTGATACTCGTGCTTCTCTTCCTTTTACGGGGAATATCCCGTCGATTCGACGGAATAAATCCTACTAGACCCAAACCGATTATAACGCATTTTAGCGTCACAAATGGCAAAGGTGGAGGGATCAGATCTAGGCTGAGGGCGGGTGGAGCTTAAGGAATCAGATGCGGGGTTTGCATGCATATTGTAGGGATCGCTTGAGATAACATGGTTTTTCAGGAAACCAATCAACCAACCAGAAGTAGGCAATCACAAGATAACAACCTCTCTCTAATACCAGCTTTACTCCTGCTATAGGTGTAGGCGACATTAAGTCTGGTTCATTCTACTTCTATCCTACCTCTATTATAACACTAGCTAGTAAAGATAATAGAGTATAATAAGTATCTAGCTATTTATTATTTCTTATTATATCTACTACGTATAAGCTAAGTTATACTATTAATATAATATAGTTAAAAGAGATATAATAAATATAATATCTATATTCTAAAGATATTATAATAGTTTCTAATAATAAGAATATAATTATTATTATAGATTGATTAAGTATGGTTCTCTAATTATAAAGGCTCTTAAGTTTAATAATTACTAACTATCTTTAATATAGATCTAAGACTTAGAGTTAATTCTAGACTTAGGGTTACTTATAATAAACTATAATTTAGTTCTTTTTAGATTTAAATTAAAACCCTATATAAAATAAAATAGTATTATAATTATAGAAGATAGAACTAAATTAATAAGTAGTGTTATAGAGTCAACTGCTATTACTACATAGCACTGCTCTAAAGGCGGTCAGTACGATAAGATAGGCAGAAGTACATAGACTATATAATCACCATAGGGTGAGTGATCATAAGTAATCTAGTCATTATAGATTATAGTGATCTATTATAATCTATTGTCTATATATATAGATGTATATCTACCTTTAGATACCTACCTTAGATAGCTCTCTAGTATTTAAAGTATCTTATTTAATAAAGTACCTTTAAGTAAAGCTATCTTAGCTATAATTAAGTTAATCACTATTACTTAGTAGTATCTATTACTTATTACTTATATAAACCTATATACCTCTAATCCTATAAAGTAGTCTTATCTCTTAGAATTAAGGATTATTATATATTAAATACTCTTATTTAATTAGTAGACTATATCTTAAGTAATACTTATAGAAACCATATTAGAATCTTAATCTACTAATAATATATTCTTATTTATAATAAAATAAGCTAGTACTAAAATCTAGTAACTCTTTACTCTAGTATAGGCCTTATAGGCAGAAGGTATCTAGAGTATAAAGTATAAAGTTCTACTAATATATAAAGAAAGTAAGAAAGATCTCTAAAGATTTCTTACTTAGTATAGAGGATATCTTATAAAGTATAAATCTAACTTTCTATATCTAGATAATTAGATATTCTTTATAGTAACTTAACTTAAAGAAGAAGTGTCACGAAATCAAGGCATGGTACCGCGGGGCAGGTGACCCGGGCGGTCAGGACCAGCAGAATAGATAAGATAAGCGATCACGCTCGATCAGTGATCCTCACTGATCGCAAGTGATCTATCACTCT